ACTTCAGGTAGAATTAACACGAGACATATTTACTGCATGAATGAACGTCTCTGTCTCTAATCTTTGACTAAATGACAGCATTGTATTGTAAAACAAAGTCTTTGTTCTGAAAAAAAAAACAAATTTTTGAAGAAAAAAAAAATCTTCTAAATAATATAAGTTCACAGCTCTGGTCAGAGACTGACTCCACTGCAGTAAATAGATTTTTAAAGCAATTATTAACTTCTTCTTGCTTGTTTACAAAATTCAATGAGCGTTCACGTTTACCAATAAAAGGTAATTTGAAATGTTTTTCCGTTTGCTTGTCAGTCGTTATTTGCCATCCGAACAGTTCATTTCTTACAAACTGTGAAGTTTTATTTTAATTTTCTTTAAATAATAAATATTTGTGAATTTAAAAAAACCCCACCAAAAAAGCGAAATGGTTTCTATAACTCTTGAATTTCCGCCGCCACAAGATTCGCCAAAACACATTTTGAATGCGCTCGATAACGATTGTATTCAGGCAGTTTTATGTCTCCTGAATATGGACGACTTTTTAAGTGCTTTCGAAACATGTGTACGTTTTCAAGAAAACGCGTGTTCGTGCTTCCCGTTTTCCACCCTAAATATCGTGCTTTCCAGAGAGAGTTTATCACTGTACCGAGTGAAGGAATTCCTATTCACATTTGGACATTTGATCAAATGTATTAATTTGAGTACGCCCGTATTCACTGTAGACTCTACTAACGACCAAAACATCATTTTGAATATGATTGGTAATTTTTGTGGAAAAACTTTAATCGAACTTTATATTGGTAATTATTTTATATTCAATAACCAATCAGAATTTCTAGCACTTGAGTCTCTAACATTATGTCTGACGAGTGTTCGATGCTTTGGTTCGTTTCCAAAATTAAAAAAACTTAAATTGGCTAGAGTATATGACTCATTTCCCAATTGCACATTCGGAATGGCCGAATATAGGTGGCTCCAACAAAACTTCTCGAATTTGGAAGAAATCACGATTGGAAGTCTCCCATATATTGGTAGCAACATCCATGAGTTCCAGCTGCATAATCCTCAACTTAGACGACTAGCATTAAACGTAGATACATCGCCCGATCTGATTTTGCTGAATGGTATTTCGCATCTTTTGCCGAAGCTAACAAGTCTCAAGATTTTTGGACCGTTGGATGCAAATGATATAAGACATTTGATGGGATTAAAAGATTTGAAATGCTTTCATGCTTCATGTGATGGACCTGACGATAGTATAGCAGTTCGTGAAGCGCTTAATTCATTCTTAATCAATAATATTCGCATCGAGCATTTGGGCCTATATTATGCATATTTCGCAGCAAACGATCGTCAGTTGGTGGAAAGTGTATCTAAATTGACATTCCTGAAAGAACTGACTCTTGAAGGTGTTTCTTGTGAAAAAGACATTTCAATAATAATCAAAAAACTACCAAATTTGAAGCGATTGAATGTAACTGCGTGCACAAATGTTTACAACCCCTGTAAATTACCTCTAAAAGAAATTGAAGAAGTGATTGGAATTGCTGAAAATTTAACTAAATTTTCATTTGAATTTGAAGACTTGGACATCGACATGACTGTTTACAATGCGATTTTGCCTTTAATTAAAGATAACATTTCTATGACGTTAATAACATTCAAGGGAAGAATAGAGATCGTTAAAGATGTTCTCTACAAGAATCGAAATCGGTTAAATGTTAAGCGTGGGAGACCCTTAGAACTCAAAAATTTCGTTGAGTGTAATTTGTATATATAAACATTTTTGCATCTGTCCAAATAAAATACGTTTTTACGTTTTCTTTTACCATTTTTTACGTTTTTTTACTATTTTTTACGTTTTCTGTACACCAAAACATCAATGTACATTTTTGAAAAGTTTTTACATTTATTTTGATTTTGAATAAAGTGTTTTGCAGGTCCAAAGTTCAGTGTGAGCAATGAGTATGTTTCATAATGAACACTTAGGCAAAATACCTGAATATCCATCCGTTTTTGCGATCAAATAATTGTCTATACAAAGCTATACAGAACCAGAGTAGGCTATACAAAAAAAAAGCAAGAAAAGAGAATGAAAAAACCATTTCATGGTATTTACCTATAGGTACTTTTAGTAGTATACTTATCATAAATGGATAGATGGCATGAGTGAAACAACGTTTGCAGCAGCACCAGTGCACAGAAAGAAAAAAATGTGGTATTTTTAATTCAATTTTGGTAGATTTAATAAAAAATCAACCAACAACGAATTAAATTTACCATTTTTGACATCTCTAACGCATATTTCACAAAAGTGAAATTTTGTTGAATAAGTTTTACCAGCTTTTCAAAACCACAAATGACGCTAGCCCATGAGTTTGGTGAATGTAATGAAGCTATTGATAAAAATTATTCAACTGATAGTCTCTTTTGAAAAATATGCATCAGAGATGTCAAAAATGGTAAATTTAATTCGCTGTTGGTTGATTTTTTTATTAAATCTACCAAAATTGAATTAAAAATACCACATTTTTTCTCTCTGTGTGATTGCTCAAAAATTGAAGCCCCCGATTTCTTTTTAATAAAAAATTCAAATAAAAATTCGAACAAATTCGATTTGTTTTTCTGTGAAATCTCAAATGTTGATGAATGGGAGACGTGATTTGGATAATTTTTGTTTACAGTTGAAATTAATTTACAGTTGAACAATTTGACTTAATTTGACTGATGTTCTCTTTCATTTTGAATTTACTTGCTCTGATTTCAAAAAAATAAACGACGACTAAATTATTTCCAACCAAAATTTCGTCAAAAAAGCGTTTCCGGGTTACAAAATTAAATAAAATAACTAAAGGGAATAACATGAATGCTCCGACATACTTCAATATTCGAAGTGAAATCACACAGAGCGATGGAAATCCTGAAAATTTACTAAGTTTTGTTGTATAGTCATGACTCAAGGTAAATGTTCAACACAAACAACACTAATTATGAATGAATGAAATGTTCGGAGATGAAAATAAAATAAAAAATAAATAATTCTTCGTCAAGAATTTTATAACACACTGTACTTGTTTGATTGACTTATCACTTTTTCGATACTGTGTTCAAATCACATTCGAACTGGTTTCGTTTACTTCAATGATTTTTCGTTTCTTGGTAGTGTCTTGATATATTGTTTTTATCAAAGGCAATTAAATGATTTCGTATGTTTGTATTGTTCACTTGAACGAAATGCGAGCAAGCAAAACGCTTGATAAAAGTGTAGAAAGAAAGTAATCGTTTCGAAGGCGAAATGATCTTATTTGATTCCAAAGAAAACAACCCCATTATTGGTTAAAGCAATGAAATTTGGTTTCATCAAACAGCAACAACCAAATATGTGCACAGTGGCCTAATCAAACACATCAATATCATTGAATATTGCGTCTTCGTTCTCACACAGTAACAATCGTTTTGTATTCTGTGCCTGTGCTGCGAAGAATGACTAATCGCAACGATAACCACTGGTAACCCACTGGGTTCAGTTTATTTGTGGTATTCAATCGCATGTTTCTGCTTAGTATTCTCATTTGATGCGCATTTGTCTTTTTTTATTTAGAGCTATGATAAAATTGCTTCTTGTACATACCAAAAATCGTATTTTGACTTAGCAATTATCATACATTTTGCATTGACCATGCTATTAGTAACATTTGATGTTTACTCAACTACTCCATCTTATCGCCGTATTTTCAAGTTACACTACTACACCCAATGTACAGTCGTGTCAAAAATGTTCGGGCCTGATTTATAGAGAGCACATGTTACAAATTGTTTTTGTGTTATAATTGAAGTACGAAGTTCGTACTTCGAACTGTCAACAGTATTGTGTAAAAAATTAGAGTTAAAATCTGTCATCGTTTGTTTTCTACAGCATTGAATATCTAGTCACTTCGGTATTTTTTGAAAAATTGAAAAAAAAAAACAAAATCATTTTAAGATTATATATCTCACAAAAGATGGTACAGCATCAAACGATTTCAATCACTTCTTATATGTAGTTTCTGTCCACCTTAGTCAAAGAATAACAAAAACCGCTGCAGTTGTGTAGAGATTATTGAAAGGTGACTCTCACACTTTTTGCGATAATATTGAAAACAATTCTAGATTTGATGGCCAAAATCCAAGTGTCTTTCATGAATATATTCCAAATGGCCAAAAGCAAGTTAGCTGCAACCCTCAGCATCTCAGCAGACGATGTATTCAATATCACATGAAAAATTTGATTTGTTGAACGTTTGATAGCGATCGTTCGAAAAGCCTTTGGAAAAATTTTGACAGAGGACAAGCGCGACGATGACAAGCAACGTTAATAGTAACGCCATGGTGCGGTTGCCAGCGAAACTAAAAAAATGGCACAAATTTCGATCGCCTAAATCAAAAATGGTAGTTACAAATTTGTGCCACCCAACATAAACAGTGACAGCCATAATGAAGTTCTTAGATTGTTCTATGTAGTAGAAGTAAAACAATGTTTTCTTCCGAAGAAAATTTTGTCTCCTCATAGGGAAAACGATATGAGTACGAAGAAGAGAAATTGACAGAAGACAAAGATGTCGATTGGTTTTCAGCAGGATTCAAAGCATTGAAGCATCGATATGATTGTGTCATTCGTGTAACACAATGTAATCGTGTTCAATAATAAATATAGTCATTTAAAAATAAAATGTGTGTTTTTGTATCAGGCCCAAAATTTTTTGACACGACTGTACATAAGAAAAAGTCCGATAATGCTCTGGTGCATATTTTATGAAATACAAACAAAGATACACATATATTTCGGAGTTTTTTTTTCCTTATCGTGTTTATTCTGTTTGTTCCCTTTTTCTATTCTCAAACAGCCATCTTATCTAATTATTACTGAATCGATTCTTCAACTGATATAAATAAACAAATAAAAAAAGAAAAATGAATCGATCGAATTTCGTTCGATACGCTGTGAATTCTTGTATTCGTATGTAATGTCAGTCATCGTTTCAGTTCAACAAAAATCACATCATCCGATGATGAAAATCGCATTTCCATAAGAAATGACAATTACATTTTGACATCGAACGCAATTTGACATTTTATCGGTTTCTAATATTGACTACCGTGTATTTACAATTTTATCTGTGAAGAAATAAGTAAAGTTCAGTGTCTTGGGTGGTCTTGTTATTTGGACAAAAAACGTGTTTTTAAAACGTTACCTGACTTTCAACGACATAAGCCAATTACCAATTACAGCATTTCGACGCAATTCGATAGTCGAACCAATTCAATTGTTCACCTATACAATGACAGCACCAAAGACGACGACGACGACAGGCAAAACATGTTGAAATCAATCGACAAAAATAATTCATTATCAATTTGCTAGTTATAAAAATATTTCACCAGCATTTCATTTAACCAGAACATTTCCTTAATCCATTCACATTGAACCGTAAGAATAACAAACAAGCAAGAAAAAGAGAGCAAAGTGAGTGTTTCTATCGGAAAAAATCTAAATAAATAAAACACCAAGCCGATTTTCAACGCAAGCAAATAGTAGTAAGCTGCTCGCGGTAAAGGTCATCCCGTTATCAACCCAAACGTAGCTCGTATAAAAAACGTTTTCGTCGTTTTGTTCCCAACGTCGTCTTGTGCAAACCTCAATTCGAGATGATTTCATTTATAAAGTAAACACATTCAATAAGAACAAAAAGCATAGCATTATGATAGCGATTCCATTGCACAAAAAACACAATAAAATTAGTTGACAATAACTGTCTCGTGGGAGCAGCGGACTTTTTTGCACAGTGAATCGTAAGCAATTGGAAGTGAGTGAAGCAGCACACAAAAAACCCGAGCAATTATTGAAACAGTTACATCAGAGAGAAAAAAGAGCAATTTAATTATAACCAGACAAGCACACTGTTTCGAAGCGCAAAAAACATCAATTCGCTGATAGAATGACAGAAGAGTTTCCGGACCCGGACAGTTTTTTTATTTACCCAAAAAATCATTTCAATCAACGACCAGAAAATGTAACGATCAAAACCCATAAAATTAACGAACCACCACAAAATAAAGTGGAACAAATAATTTACACTGATCAGAGGCAATTCGAAACAGAAAGACTTTCACAAAAAAGTCTGCCAAACTTGAAGCAATCGTATGGAAGTATTTATGCAAATAACCCAAAACCACCGTATAATATATCGGAGAGCGAACCATTGCTCACTAAAAACCATCAGTACTCGGCCTATTTGCATCATTTTGGCGTCGGCGAACCAGTTCATTCCAGATATCGACGCACACAAATATTTTTGTATGTATCATGCAATTGAAAATCATTGTCCAACTACAATATCTATGAGATGGGCGTTCTCTAAAATTTTATCAAACACATTTTTTTAGGTTTTTCTACATCGTGTTTTTTGTGGGATATTTGATTATAGGTAAAAAATATTTTTCATTTCTTCATGGCCATAATTATTTACTGAAAATCGTGTCAATTTTTCAAAAACTTCGTTATGGCCAAGAAGTTTTGTTTGTTTTATTCGAATTCATCATTCAGATATTGTCTGAGGTCAAATTGTCTTTTGAATAAGTCGTAGTGGTAATAATTTTCTGAAATTCCTTCAGGTGCCATTGTATTTCAAAGATTAGAAACGTCGGTCGAAGAAAGTTTTAGAGAGGAATTTCGTCAAACCCGTCGGAAATTTTTAGAGAAAAATCCAAATGTTGAAGGTTAAGTTTTTTTTTTATGTTGATGATGCATATTTCGTTGATAACAATTTACATATATATGCTATAGTTATAGCTTGTGTAGTGATTTGTTGAATTTATTAATAATGTCGCTTTACTATATCGTAGTTAATTATTATGTATACGTATGAAAATGTGTATTTAATTTACTTACAGATGATGATCTGGAAAAGTTCATCGGTGAAGTGCTTAAAGCCAGTTCAAAGGGCATATCCGCATTGCGAAATGCCACCTCAGAACCGAATTGGACTTTTGGTCAGGCACTTTTTTTCAGCACAACCGTGGTCACAACGATTGGTAAATAATTGATGTTCACACGTGGGCGATACGTATTTTATTGATATTTAATCGGTATTCAAATAGGATATGGTCATGTGACGCCGCTCAGTCAAACGGGAAAATTATTTTGTTTGATCTATGCAATGATTGGTATACCGCTAACTCTCGTACTGCTTTCGGCTGCCGTCGAGCGATTGATGACCCCATGCAATTGGATGCTCGGCTTACTCAATTCAAAACTCGGTCACCTTTATCAACCATTCAATATTCGAATTTTACATCTATCCATTATTATTTTCATCGTGCTTATTCTCTTTTTTGGCATTCCAACCGCTTTGTTTGCATACTTTGAAGAGCAATGGTCGCTCATGGTAATTATCAATGTCATTTAAATGTTTTCAATAGTCAATATATTTTGAAGAACGACAAGGATAAGTTTACTGCTATAAACTGATTTGATAAATGCACGACTTTAACTGGTGTGCAAATATTTGAAGAATCTAGTTGGTTAAGACTGTCATGCATTCTTGAACTGTCTTCTTCAAATCCTTGGTCAGAAGTCGCAAACTAATTACGTTTTTCATTTTTTAGGACGCTTTCTATTACTGTTTCATTTCGCTCACTACCATAGGCTTAGGAGACTACATTCCTGGGTAAAAATCAAATACATTCATGCCTATACGATTCAACTCTCTAATATATTTATATTTATATATATTTTCATGAAAGTGATGATCCTGACATTGACTATAGATCAATTTACAAAATTGGAACTACATGTTACTTAATTATGGGTGAGTTGGTTTTCATAACATTTCAGTATACGAGAACTTTATTAATTCATTAGTATTCGAAATCGATATGTCTGCAATCATCTAAAATCACCGAAAAATTGATTACTTTGTCAATTACAAAAGACGACAATCATCATCAAATCAATATAAACTGTTTTTTTTTCAAAATGCAGGTCTCATTGCGGTAATGCTGACGTTGAATGTATTCTATGACATTCCGCAATTGAATTTGGGACAATTATTCACCGAATCGCGTGCAGCTACTTTTGATGGTGAATCGGAAAAACTGCGCTCAACCCACAATCCATGCTATTCAGGACCGACAGGATTTTATATGCCACAACGTGACGAAGAGATTCGAGCCGTGGTGCGAATAAGGCCTCATCAAGCCGATTCGCCCAGTCCAGAAGATCCGACCCCATTGCATGCTAAAGACATTCGCATTCCATAGACTCAACGAATCGACTATATTCTATTTTTCTAACAATAATAATACTATATAAATTAGCGACAATTTTACATATCTACATACATATATATGTTTAAGTGTTTGAACGTACATCGTCAGCATAAAAACGATTGGAATTTATTTTTCTGAAGCAAAACCAAACAAACTATTCATGTATTTCTATGTAAAATATAATAATAATAATGAACAAAGGCACCAAAAAAGCTTAGATATTTACAACTACAGCAAACATACTTATGAATAAAGTCATCTCTTAATTTGAATTGACGCAAATATACACATTACACTAATTTCGATTTCAATCTGTCTATGTATATGCATGACTATCATGAGGCATTAAACCAAATCATCGTTCAAACTATATTATCACCGAATGAAAAAAAAAACACAGAACATTTACTTCAAGAGCTTCTATCCACAATCAAATTAAAAACAGATGAGATTTTATCGTGTATTTAATGTCCGACCATTCAAATATATTTATCATGTATTAATGTAGAGTACAAACAGCTACCAAATAAAACGCCGTTTTATTTATTCCAAGCAGGTGGTTTTTGTTTTTATTCCGATATTAGTTTTTTTTCGGTGTTGTCTACATGGACAAAGGCTCTAGTTGCAAAGTAGCGGAAACGAAACAGCTGATTGAGTTTGCTGGTTCAAGGGTAAGTTTAGTTAAACGGACGAGATTCAAACTGACGTAGGTCGGACTAAACCACAAGTGAAACATGATTCCTTTGAAGTGCTTTAATTACCACAAGAGTGGAGTGTCAGTAAAATGACAACGAATGTGGAGTGTGTAGGGTATGGTTGTGGTTGTTGAGCGACAGTAATGACTTTTAATGTTATTTACCATGGCTTCCATTTAAAATACCAAAAGTAACAATAGTTGATCTATAACAATGTCGTCTCCATTTAGATTGTAACACAATGAATACAAGCAAGCAATTTGATTAAATATGTATAAACGACCGAATCAAACTCGAAAGGCAAACAGCCAAAACGAGCCCATACGCAAACGACAAAGATAAATAAATCACACATAAACCTAATGGAAAAAGCGAATAATACCCATTTTAAATCCATTTAACTCATTCGTTGGATTCGTTGAATTCGCGCAGTGTCTCTGAAAAGCAAAATGAAAATGTCGCCGGTTTATATTTTTTTTTTTTCAAAGAATTTTTCTGTTTATTGAATAATTTGAATGAAAAATTAAAAGTACATAAACATTGGATCAAGACTGAGCGCGATGTGATTTTGTGGTTGTGTGAGTAAGGGGTGGGGGGGCGAGGGGTGGTAGACGCTTGGTTCGAGGGTGTGTATGTATTTATCATTTTTTTTAAATATGCTTATGAATGTGAGAGAGAGAATTGAATTACTGTTATTAGAAGAGGCTTTGTGTTAATGCCTATTTTGCGTTCCGGTTTGCATAAATCATAAAACACTTATATTTCTCATCATTATTTGGTGATTACTGTACTGCTATCATGTTAAAAAATATATATATTATTGTATAACATAAATCCATATTCATGTAAAACTCAAAACAAATAGAACTGTTTATTTATAAAGCATAGAGAAGAAAAAAACAATTTCCGAGAAGTAAAACAAGTAAAATAGTTCAGTTAAAATGTCTGTTCCATGCGTTCTCTGTTTTTTTTTTGTTTTTTTTTTCTATTTTTTTGTCAAAATCCAAAGTTTTAATCTATCAAAATAAAATATGTATAAGTTTTTCTTTTGAAACCGCTTATTCAAATGCACGAAATTTTTGTTTGAACAAAACCTTCGAAATTTTACACGAAACGAAATTCATTGCATTCCTGTCACTCGACTGTGCTCTCGGTACATGGAATCGACTAACAGTTCAAACCATGCCAATGCACAATTGTGACGGTAAATTATATGATTTTGCATTATTTTCGCTCTGAACAATGCATGAAATTTAAATCGAACATTTTCATTTTTCAACTTCGTGGGAGGATATGTTTATAAAAAAATAAAATTCACTTGCAAATTGCATCACGCAAGCAAGCAATCGAAAACAAAAATCAACTAAAAGATAATTGGAAATTTGGTCAACAAATGCTATTTATAATAATTTAAAAAATAAAAAATGATTACCATGTGACTCTTACTGTTTTCGCTGACAAATCTTGTAAACAATTTTTTTCAGACAAATTTTATAAAATAAAATTTGATACAATCTCTCTGGCATGCAATGTGTGCTTTATGTCATCGAAAAATATGTTGTTAATCACTATGAGATATATCTGATATTGGTGTTGGTTTTCTGCTTTTGTTTTGTGGGTTTGTCAATCGAGCCTTGGGTAAAAATCAAATATATTCATGCCTATATATATTTATAAGTAAAACCTAGCCTAACTCTCTAATATATTCATATATATATATATTTTTTATGCAAGTGATGAAAATTGTTGTCTGCTTAAACTCACTGTGTAAATTCTCAATAAACGTGTGCATAGGTCATTTAATTTGTTCCATTTTTTTTGTTGATTTTTTTCTCTTTTGTTTCCTTGAAGTTAAATTCCAAACACTATTTAGATAATTAGATAATTGTTTGCGCCAGTTTGTTTTCTTCGTATTTTTTTTTTTTTTTGTTAAATCTATAGAGCTCTGTTCCATGATTAATTCATTTTTAAATGTCTAAATTCTCTCGATTTTTTATCTTTAATTTTTTTTTTCCTAAACAATTTGTTGATTTATTTTATGTTTTTTTTTTTGTATTACAATATTCCATAAAAACCAGAACATTTAAAACAATTATCCAAATTTCATTTTTAAATCCGTTTAATTTTAAGGAATTGTCACGAACGTTAATTTTGTTTGTTTTTCGTTTTGAGCTTGATATCGCATTCATGTCTCTTTTGATACTCTGTATGTTTATTCATGTCTCGAAGGGAGAACAGACTTCCCAGTAAATGAAACTATGATTTTTTTTCGTAATAGACATTGTATCTACCGATGTCTATAGAAAATTCGTAAATTTTTAACCTAATTCTTGTTTCGTCTAGTGGCGCGACTTGACTGAGCTAAATTGTCCACAGATTCTGATGTCTTTTCGCCGGTGGACTGTCTTGGTGTTTCACCATCGATTTTTGCCATTTTTGCCGGTGGCTCGACATCTTTGGATTCAGTGGCATCTAATGATCAAATAGAATGTTTATGATTAATAAATCGGCCGGGGTCAGTTTAGAGAGAGAGAGAGAGAGTACTGAGAAGAAAAATGTTGTCTCAGCTCAAATAGAATAAAGTAAAATAAATGTACCTTTCAGTGAAGCGTCCTGGTTTTGCTCATCGTTAGTCTCGTCGGCCAATTTACGTTTTGTTGCCACTCTTTTGATGCCAGGCGTTGATTGGCTTTCATCGCCGGAGTCGGTCTTTTTCACAAGCGAATTCTATAGAAAATTCAAACATATTAGCACTTCATTTTCGATTCAATCAAAACCATTCATTACCTTTGCAGAATTCGTTTTTGGCTTGTTTGCAATTTCACTTTTTCGCTTGTTTGTAATCGGTGTTGTTGTTTTAACGTCAGCTTTCTCATTTGCCTTACGCTTAACAGAAGTTTTCTTTTCGATTTGCGACTCATCCTTGTACAAAGACAGGTCCACTGAAAATGCAAACAAAGTTACGCAATTAGTATGTGCTATTCAATAGACAGACATAGAGAGATAGAGAGGGGGAGAGAGAGACAAAAGAAAATTAAAGTTTTGTGCCAACTCACATCCGTCTGGATTTTCTTCGGTAACGTCTGGTCGTTCAACAATTCCATTTTCAACATCAAGCGCCTTTTTCAAAATGCTTTCAATGCGTTCATGTTCGGCACTGGTCAGTTCGAATTTTCCTTTTGCCAGTTTATTCAGCGAAACGCTGGTCAATACGCACTCAATATCGGTGGTATCCATATAATCCAAGCAATAAATATTCTTTTCAGTTGCACCCTCCGACAACCAACGAATACGAATTTTTGGTGATGTTTTGTACACATTGTACATTGTCTGACAGAGAAAAAAGCCACCGTCTGTATTTCGCACAGCCAAAAATTCATTCCTGCAAGGCACAAACAACAAAGTAAATTTAAAAAAAAGATTCTTTTTCTCGAAATTGAATTTGTACTTACTTATAGAATAATGTCAATTTATCCTCGCCGTTTTTTGTCTTTGTCTTCTTTTTGTGCGCGTTAATTGCCTCGGCTGCGCTGATTTTGCTCACCAACTCAATTTCGGGCGTTGGACTCTGATACGGAATGGTCTTAAAGCGATTCCTCTTTATTTTTGATCCGATTGGAGTCAGTGCCACCGGTGTTGCTGGTTGTGATGATTTCGTCGATTTATCAATGGTCATTTTTATCGATGGCTTTGCTTTGATCGCTTCCTTTTTATCCGTTTCTTTTGTTGTCTCACTTTGATTTGTGCTACTCTGCGTCAGTGAATCGTTTTGTGATGCATTTTGTTTGCTTTTTGATTCGATCGCTTTATTTTGTTGTTGATTTGTTGAACCTGCACTGCTAACTGAAGTACTCAATGGTTTTTCGGTTTTTACCGTTTCAATTGTCTTCTCTGTTTTAATGTTTTCCACTTTGATCGAATCAACTTTCTCTGTTTTCTCTGCTTTCACCTCAATTTTCACGGGTTGTACGTTGCTTGTTTTTGGTGTTGATACACTTTGTTTAGCATCCACGTTGGTTGAATTGCTTACTGGCGTTGATTGAACTGGTTTTGTCGGAGCGTGCGTTGCAGGAGCGACTGAAATTGATATGTTTCCTTTTGGTGGTGTTGTCGGGACCACATTCAAAGTCGGTGGTTTCGCCGCAGTTACGGCTGGTTTTGTCGAATTTGCATTTGGTGATGTGACCTTCACCGCTGATGGGCTGATCGATACCGATGGATTAATCGGAATTGTTGGTTGGGGCATCGCTGATTTGACATCAATGTGAGGCACAGCTGTTTGCGAAGACGTTTGCGTTGCTGGAGACAATGATGTTGTACGAATCGGATTCGTATTTTTGCGCGGTGTTTGTTTCGTTCGTGGTGATGTTGGCGACAATTTCTGTAATCCAGGGACGTTTTGTGGTGAATTTAGCTGTACGCAAGAGAGACGGGGAAATTATTATTTTTTTTGTTGTTGTTGAAGTATAAGAAAAATCAACGCAAAATTTACCTTCAATGGTGTATTTGGGATCGGTTTGCTGGTCGGAGAAACGGTCGGTTTGTTAGTTGGTGTAACAGTGACGGACGGTGGATGTGATGTTTTCACTGATAAAGGTACATTTCCAAGAGACATTGATATTGCTTCAGGTAAAAATGATTTCTGTGATGATGGCGACGATACCGGCCTATTGGGCATTTGGTTTGAATTTTTCACATACGAACCCGATGGCGAATTGGTTTTTGTAATAGTCAAACTTGGTGTGATGTTCATACTGGCCTGTGAATTATTCAAACTGGCTGCTAAGAGATCGGCATAGCCTTTATTGCCCGCCGATGTCATGGCCGATGGCATTTGCGGTAATGTTGATTTTGACGAGCTGCTCGATATATTCAGCGGTGTGGCAACAAGTCCAGATTGCATCGGAGGCACAGTCGACTTTGGTGCATTCGGAAAACTCTTACGCGATTGCATTGGACTCGAGCTCAATGGATTTTGTGCTAAGTTCTTATTTTGTGCATTTGATCGGGGATAATTGACGGGTTGCTTTGACATCGACTGCATATTTGATCGTGCCACAGGTGTGATCGTCGTATTTGTTGGCAATGGAACCGATTGCTGTTGCTGTTGTTGCTGCTGTTGTTGGAATGATTTGGCTGCCTGTTGTTGTAATTGCATCATATTCGTCAGCGCCTGTAATTGCACTATATGTTGCAATTGCGTTTGCTGCGCAGCAACATTACCACCATTTTTGTCATTCAAAATGTCGCTCACTATCCGATTCAAGGCTATTCATAATAAATTAACGTGAAAATATTTCAATAAAAAAAAGTGCGTTCATTTCACACGTAAGTATAAATTGTTACACACATTGAGGCGGTTGCTGAAATTTCGCTTGCTGATTCTGTTGGGATGGTTGTTGCTGTTGTTGTTGATGCATCAAAAGTTGACGTTGCAACAATAATTGCTGTTGAAAGATTTTTTGATCGATCACTGACATTCCGGATGAACCGCTCGGATTGGCCAAATGGTTGCCAGGAACTGTAATAGAAACGCAAGAAAATCCATATGTTTTAAAACAATCGATTCTTTGCAAACGCCATTGAATTGAGCGACACAATGGAACATTGACCTTCAATTACGTAGCGTATTATTTTATTATTAAATTGTAATGGAAGAATCGAAATTCTTTTTACATTGGCTCATGTTTTGCCACAACGATTTGGAGACATTATGAATAATCATGTAAAAGTCGGCGTACGTGTTTTTTTATTTGTAAATTAAATTAATGTGCTTACTTGATGCAGCGTTATTGATCATTGGCATGTTTGGTATACCACTGGCCCCAATGTTTGCATTATTTGGTTGACCCCCTTGTTGTTGTTGTTGATTTTGGTTCGACATGCCACCCGTGAACGGAGGTCTTGAAGTGAAGCTCATGTTATCAAATTCACCTAAATTCGATGAAATGTTAAAAAACACACAATTCAATCAAGCGCTTTCTTCACGTTACAAAGAGAAAAAAAGAGTCAACAAAACAATTTTTCAATTCATGTCAAATTTTGCACACACAAAACTGGCATTCAATCACAAGAATAAATCCATTGATTCAATGTGATTGGTGAGAATCACCTTTTTAAAATGCAAACGATTGTGTGTAGAATTTGATTTTGCTAATTTAATAAATAAAGATTTTTTGAAATCATTGAATTTCCCATCAAAATGGTTATGTCCATGTTTAAATGAAGTGGAACATTTCGACAGCAATGTTACAAAAAAACACCATTTTTTTATTTCTCATAGTGTTCGTTAGATTGAATAGCAGACAAACACGCACACAAAGTGGCATGGGAAATATCACACCTCAATGAACAACTACACAACGTTCTCGTGCATCTCACGCATACCACAACACGAATTACGATTTCAAATAAAAAAAAAAGTTTTTTCTATTCGCAAAACATGATTCTCATCTCTTGCAAACTTACTTTGGAAAAAAAAAATATGTCCACACAAACACGACACAAACGGTGACCAATATATAATGATTGAGTTGCAGTGATTGTGTTCTTTTTTCTTCTTCTCTCAAATACTTATTTGTTATTCTTTCGTTCAAATAATAATTAATTTATTGACACATTTTTTTCTTGTTCGACGTTCTGTTCTGCTTGCACTCACTGCACTCTCAATTACATGCAAATAATTTACAAGCTTGTTCACAGAAATCTAATGTACATGTATATATAAACTTTTTTTTTCTGCGAAACGAACATACGACACACAGGATACACAAGTGATGGAAATATACCGAAAAATCTTTGACGGACAAACGCATAGACTTCCGGACACCGATTTTTTATTTCCAAAAAACACAACAAACATAAAAACAAATCTCAAAAAATCACCGTTTTAAGTTGTGTTTTTGTATATTTACAAAATGTACGTGGAACGATGTTAAACTTGTTTTCAATACCATAAAATTTCTCTAATTATAATGGCGTTCAATGATGTACGCATGCTCCAAAATTCGCTCATTTATTCGCCTGAAGTTGATGTTTTTATTTTTTTTTTCGTTTCTACTTCGCAATAATTCCGATGTGACGATATGTGTGCATGGTATATGTGGTTGTATGCGTATGGGTTTGCATGTATGTGCACATGTATGATTTCAGTAGTGCGAACAACATACTCTCGTCGACAAATGTCTCGTGTTTACCCATTGCTCTTGCGGTATATTGCCATAAGTAACGGCAAGAGATATGAAACGATGTTGTGGCATGTAAACATGCACATTTATCACGGTGTGCGTACGTATCAAGTGTGTGCTATTTTGTGATGATCTGTGTGTGTGGTACATGTATTCAATGCGATATGTGGTCGTATGGTGAACTTGTAGCGCTCAAACCACCAAACGTCAACTCATACGAATTGAATTTCACTTGAATTCAACTTCACACATCAATGCAATAGACGTTTTGAACCGATTCATTCATTTGGCCAACAACTTTTTTTCTGCTGACTTTTCGTAAATGTTTATTCTTTTTGCTGCTACATCTTAAATGACTGGCTTGAATATGTTTGATCAAAAAACAAACTCTTTTTTTTTCGTGGAACATCAATTCAAAGTGAAGATTTGTTGTGGAATTTTCCAAAGGATGTATTTTAAATTCGAAATTATTTTGAAGATTCAAATTGTTTAAATTTTAACATCTTTTACCGATTTTGAATATTTCGGAATGATTAACCATTTTGTCAACAATTCTATTGTCGATGATTTTTTCAACTAATTTCCTTTTTTTTATTTTAAAATGGAAGAATAGCTTACTTCGTTAGAATCATACTGGATTTCATGATGAATTATCATCGTTTCGTATACTTAAGTTTTGGAATTAAGGTTTATTTTTCGGGTAAACAAAGTACTTACTCGATTTGAATATATAAATATTGCTTGGTGCAAATGACCCGGTTTACATTGGTACACCATTACTTCATTTAAATTGTTCATTTAGAATTCTTGTACGAAAGTGCAGTTTTCTATGGACTTCTTCGAATAAAAATCCGAAGAATGTTTATATTACATTTAAATTCAAAGAGATGCTCTTTGATTTGGCTTTCCAGCAATGAATTGGTTTAATTTTGTGGATAACATTTTCTTCGGCTTTGATGCGATGCTTTCAATGTATGCTGAGATATTGTCAATAGCTTAAAGAGATAGAGATATGCCGACTGTCACGAATTGCATACATATTTTTAACAATGCGGTTTTTATTGAGTATTTTGATGAAGCAATAAACTTTCAACAACAAATCTAGTTCAACGCACAGAATACAAAAACGGAATTATTTTCGAATGGATTGAATCAAAAACAAATATCCTGAAATGACTTCGCATTTAACCTATAACCTTAACGACTATCTACTCTCATATTCTCCTTCAATGTTCCACACTGCACGTGCACAGTATTTTCACCCACTTTGCATACGAGTAATGCAATTATTATTGTCCATTAGTTGATCAAACATACATACGGAGCAATGGAATACTTTTCCAAACGAAACACATCAGCCGACGTTGGTTCTTTTGATTTTGATATATTACAAGACGTTTAATGCATTTTATATTGAAATGATTTCAATATAATGACCAGGAAAGATGTGCGTGCCAGCCGGTTACCGTTATACGCTATGTCCACAATGATGAATATGAAAATCTAGTGGGCCATCGACTTTAATTTATGAAATCAAATAACCAAACCTTTTTCAGAATTGTCGATGTTTCTGTTATCTCCTTCAATGCTTGTCGAATAAATTTGAGCATGCCATAATGCCACACAATACACTCTATACGCAAAGTATCAAACGAACATATTCAAATAGTCTTTGGTTACCAATAGCAATAAAATGATGCACAAATCAAAGGCCACCGTTCAAATTTGAAGTCGAAATATCAATGGTTTTATTCTTTATTGTCAATACAAATGATAGTCTTATAAAATGTGAATTGTATGCATCCATTCATTGGATAGGTAATCTTACTCTGAAAGCATTTAATGTTATAAATCTTGAACATTTTGTTATATTGCTCAAAAATATTGTTGTATTTTTTATATTTTTTTTTACGAATTTGTAATGAAGGTCTTTGATTGTATTTTAAATGGTTAAAAAATATATCGGTTGTCGACAACCTAAACGAATTACGGTCGCTATTTACGAACAAGATAAGAGGAATAGTGTTTCTGGGTCGTCTTTCGGCATTGCGATGCATTTGAATGCGCTTTTTTCGGCACTGGTACATTGTGCGATGGATTCGATGTGAGTTTGGCCTGCAAACAACAAGATCGACAATAAGTTATGCGGTTCGCATTAAAGTTTGCATTTTCATTACCCAATGGTTCCGGCTCCATAACTTCGGTCTCAGTAAGAACCGTTGTAGTAACAGCTTCAGTTGCAGTATGACCTGTATCGGCAACAGCTTCCGGAACCTTTTCATTTTCGTTGACTGACACTTTGTTTTCAATTGATCCATTGATAGTTTTGTCAGCTTCGGCAATATTTCCATTTTCACCGACCTCTTCCATTTCTTCGACAATCATAGCTAGTTTACCGAATGAATTGTTGCCAGCATCTGGTTCGTTTTCACTTACATCAACGTCGACAATTCCTTTGACCACCTGTTTTAAAATGTCGGCAACAATTGAGTTTGTTTCTTCGACGAAAGTATCTTTAACCACTTGTACTTGCGATTCATTTGATTGTTCGATTTCGGCCAATGCCACTTCGGATCGTGGTTGCTGTTCTGTCTTTGGCTCAGTACACGAATCAAAATCTTCTTGGGGCGCTTTCATATCATCAGTGGACAAGTGTTCCTCGGGCTGTCTGACGTTGGGCAAGTGTTTCTCTGACTCTTGAACATCTTGGCTGTTGAAACCACAGAAGCCCTGTGACAATGTGCTATTGCAAAAGAAAAATAAACAATTCCAATTAAATTACAAATTCAATTGAATATTTTTTGATTTTATCGACCAAATGCAAATGTAAATTAAAATAAACTTACAGTTGTTCTAGAGACGAATCATCCTTGAAAATGATCGGCAAATCTTCGATTTTGATGTCCATGTTTGAGCCATTTGCATTGGCCATATGTTCACATTTGATTGGTGTGCTTGTCACCGTCACCGATTCAGGGGCGATTTCATCGACTTGCATCTCCTCAATGACCTTTTCGTTCTCCTGATTTTCGGTTGTGTAATTTATCAGGCTTGAATTTGACATACTTTTGTTCACCACATCCACTTCAACGATTTCCATTATGAAGCCAGATCCGACTGAATTGTCGTCTTTGCTTTGTGACACATTCAATGCATCAATATGCGTTCCATTGGACTGTTGTTCATAATTAGAGTCATCGGTTTGCATTGTGGCATTCAGATCAACAGTGCTGTTAATAACAGTTTGATCGTAAATCAATGAGCTGTCATCGAGCATCGTAATTTGGCTGCCATCACCGGCATTATTTTCCATCGACGGCACTGACATGTTAACGCTTGGATCAATCTCATTATTGGCCGATATGTCATCGGGCAAAAGTTTCGACACCAAATTGGAAATTTTCGTCATGTCAGCTTTCATTTGACTGACATCTTCGTTCAATTTGCTGAGACATTGTTTCATGCAATGAAATTCGTCAGCATCAATCGATTCGGTTTGGTCTAATCGTTTGCGAATAAATTGCATTGCGTTCTCTGGTTTTGGATTTGTGTTGTGCAACTGAAAAGAGCAAAAGATAAAAATGGTTTTGAATAAGATTGGATTGAAAATGTCGTTTTGTTATATGTGTGTTAATGCAAAAATTGGATTAACACAAACCATTGACAATATTTGGACCAGCGATTGGAATGCGTTTGTTTCAATTAGATACTGTTTGAATAACTTCTTCTCCTTTACACCGAAAATACAAAAAAATGTTTAAAAAAAAAGAAATGTCGCGCAACAAAAATGTATGTCTATCGTTGTGAATTTGGAAAAACAGAAGATTGTGTCACTTGCAAAGATAACGGAAAATTACCTCGTTCGGATCCGTCGCCATTTTATGAATATCACACAAGTAATTCAAATGAAGAAAACTAAGAAAATAATTTCGCAACAAGTTGTAAAAAATTACGTCTCACCACATGGACACTTGACAATAGAATGCCAGACGTGCTGCACACTTTGTGACACTTGACAGTTAGATCGGTTTGGGTGTTTTTGCTGCTTGTAGTGAAAACAGTGCTAATTCACACAGCACAAAGTCGCAACCAACTCGTACACATGCCAATCAACACAATACAGTTAGAAGAATTTTTGAATCGCTTCACATTCACAAACAAACACACAAAGCAGCCATGTCTTTCAATTTCAACGACAACGAGAGATGATTTGTTTTTGTTTATTTTCCAAGTATACAAGCTTATGCATTTAGACAATCATTTGACTAGAAAGAATGATGCTGTTTATATACTCAATCAAAATATTGGAACAGGAACAAAAAAGATGAACTTTATTTTATGTTAACATTCACAGTCTTTTGTCATTTTTTTTTTAATTTTAGTCGATGACAGAACTGAATATTTTAGTTTTATTTGAACATTGAATTATTTCGTTTTTTTGTCTCACATGCCAATCATTTCATTTCATATTACAATTCAGTAAACATGCTGCATTCGCTACGTGCTTTCAGTCAAAATAAAAATGAGCAATTGTTTCCTTTAAATTCAACTTAATCAATTTTCTTGAAGTAAATATCTTCAACGTTTCGAAATGTCTTGTGTTGTTTGCATCCATCGATCAATTCTTTCCAATTTGTATCGTGTTCCAATAAAGCGGCTTTGCCAACCACAATGACCATGACACTGAAATTATTCAAAATGTGTCAAATCGACTGCTTAATACTTCGAATGATTATGATTACCTAGCCCGTGAACATGCCACATTAATTCGTTTCGGGCATTTGATGAAACCCAATCGCCGTGACACATCAATATTCGCTTTATTGCTGCATGTCCGTACGGTTGAAATGATGACCACTTTTCGTTCGATTCCTTGAAAATCTTCAACAGTTCCGACCCGTATCTCTGGATAATCGGTTTCCAATTTATTTTCGAGTGCTCGTGTTTGCATCGCATACGGTGTGATGATACCAATATCTGCATGATCCATGCCCATATTCATAATTTTTTCGACAAGTGCTGTGACCTATTTTCAAATTAGATTGAACATTTCTATGCAATTGACATTCAGAATTTTCACACATCAAACTTACCGCCTTCACTTCTTCAATATTGTACCAAGATGTCTTCTTTTTTTCGTCTCGACCGTTTGCAACATTTATAAAATGAATCCCGTACTTGCCACGTCTCTCATAGCCGGGAAAAATACTGTCCAAATGTTCAAGCAAATTGTAATATCTTGGGTAATTCTTTTTAGTGAGCATCGAAATCAATCGACTTTCGTAGAACTGTTTGTTGCAATAGTCCAAAATCGACGGTAATGTGCGGTAATTTTTTAGCAGCTCTGATACCAACTGGGAACCATATCGTTCTTCCTGTCCATCCTTGAATAAAGAAAAAAACAAAATTACAATTGTTTCGAGACAAGGGCGTGTCCAAAATGGTTCTTACATTAATAACGAAATTGTCATAACAATCACGTAAGCGGCTTAGCATTGAAATAGCCAGACCCCGCTCATTTGCATGTTTGCAAATGACCAATGGTGCCATTTGCATCGGGTCACCAGCCATTATTGTTTGTCCACCATTTCCAACTAGTGCCATCGGTATGAGTACATCAACTTCTGTACATTGACCAGCTTCGTCGATAATTGTATGCGTGAAAAAATTTCGCAATTCATACTGTTCCAATAAATGTGCAATTGTATTTGATGTACTGATGACAATGCGAAATTGTTTGATTTTTATCAATTTCAGACTTTTTCGGACCGCTTCTGGTTCTAAGGCATCAATGGTGCAACCAAACTCACCAATTTCTTCCGGAATTCCCTTGTTGCGTGTAGAATATTTGAATGATATTAATCGTAATAAATCACTTGTTGTGAACGAATTTGCCTGAATTAAGCGTGTTGCAATCAGGTCAGCAGCGCTATTGCTTTGTGTTACGATCAAAATCCTACTGTCTTTTTTCAAATGAAAAATTTGAAGTACGATTTCCAGAAGTGCAGTCGTTTTTCCCGTACCTTGATTTTAGACAAACGGAGATAATTTATGAATTATGGAAGAACTTTTTAAAACAAAGAAATAATAAGAAAATACCTGGCGGTCCAACGATGATGTAAGGTAATAATAAATCACCTCGCAGTACCCGTAGTACGGCAATCTTTTGGTCGCTATTCAAGTTCTGGTTGAACCAGTAGTGTTCGGTTGTTTCTCTTATTCTTTTCCTTTGTTTCGCTGATCCCTGTTGTTTGTCCTCTTTGAGCATCCGCTTATTTATCAAAGGATTTCCGCGCAAATTGATCTCTTTTGGCATTAGATAATCGATTCCAAATAACTCTACCGCCAAATCGATTGCAAAATGTTGTCGAACGTAAGTCAAACGCGAGAAAAAAAATTGCACATAATAATCACCGAAATCGAACGTTTGAACAAAATCATCATTAAATTGCACCAGAAGTAAGTCATCTTTTTTTAATTCAATTATGACCCCTTCATATGCGATTTTCAGATCCGAATGTTTACGCGCGGTTAATTTGTCACCTGAGATTTTATAGAAGAAAAAAAAACATATATTTTCATGTCAAGAGACCCCAATTAAATTTTTTGGTAAAATTGAAAGAACTTACCCACTTGAAGAGATGGACGTGTTTCAAATAACTCGTACACGCTGAGATCATAAATACCTTTTTCATATGGTGTTCTGATGTCGATACCATCTTCGCGCCGATATTCCTTATCCCCAAATTGTGCACGATATTTATTATACTTTTCCCATATCTCCTTCTTAAGATGGATTTCATCCAGAAACAACAGCGTATGAAAATGTTCGGCATAATTTCGTTGAACATCTGGCACCCACGAATCAAGTTTACCAAGTACTTCGGCTGCATTCTTCGTTCTTTCATTAAATATCAACGTTTCCAATTCAACCGGAATATCGTAGTCATATTTTGAAATGATCCGCTTTTTTCTACAATAAATGATGCCAATTTGTCTGTCGATGACGAACCGTCTTTCGACGCTATTATGCAGCATTACGAATATGAAACGAACTTTGACAAGTGAATGCATTTTATTCGGCACAAAGCTAGCTTCAAAATGAAGAGCAATCTCGCCTCTTGGTTCGATACAGATGTTTTCATCGCTTTCGACACGTCGCAATTTCGAGTTTGGCGTTATAATCGTAGATATTAATTCAAGATTATGCCATGTGTTGTTCCGAACGACCACCTCGATTGATTTGTCAAACAGTGTTCGATCAAATTCAATCGATAGATTGTCCGAAACGTCAACGGCATAACTTTTTCTCACATCCACAATATCATCCGAACATGTGGCTTGTGGAATCTCATCAGTTTTGGCTTCGATGTCGTTGCCATTGTTCGCCGAACGATTGCGATCAAATGTAACAGTGCGCGTCAAGTCAGTATTGTCTAGAAAAGAAAAGCGAATTTTGCCACTGGTTGCATCGTTCATCGGATATTCAGCTACAAATAAATACTCTTTTTCACGACCAGCTACAATTGTTTCATATATTTCATGGAAACTACAGATTTTTACCGTATCTACGTAACTAATTACTTTATTCACTTTCAGATCACGCTTACCTTTGTTCGATAAAATTATTTTAAAGTATTGTTTCGTACGCGATTCATCGAAATTCACAGTTAAATCGTCAGTCGCCTCAATATTACAAGCTTTTGGCATTTTTTTTTTCGAAATGTGAATAAAATGGAATTTCTAAAAGACGATTTAATGTGAATTTTAACGGAATCACTTGTTGAGCCACACGAGGCGATAGATTGGAATGGTGTAACAACACTGGCCTTATAGCTTTGTGCTATTTGGCGTGTTGAAATATTTCTATCCAATACATTTGCATTGAGCTAAGGCTCAATTTGTATCAATGTGCAACAAAAATTCTCACTTTACAGTGTTTGTTTGTTTATAACTGTTTTGTTTATTGTACTATCCAGTGATCAACTCGCATTTTGTACACTCACGCACACTCTATTTCTCTCTATTCCTATTTTTATCTCTTTTTCCACATTCATAAATTTCGAACTGTTGTCGCCGTGCAAGTAAATGACTACTATCAAAAATGTTCGGCATGTTCGGATATAGATCGGGATATAACACTCACCATTCCTTTTTATACTGAAATTCGCTCACAACACAAACAAGTACTAACAAGCACAGCAAAGAATAGTTTTAATTGGTGATGCAAAAATAAATTTGCCGTCAACATTGGAAGTTGACAAAAAATGTATTGTTTATACAATAAATAACGTTTGCAAAATAATATCTCGAAAATATTTCACATTTTCGCCTGACTTCTCCAATATTAAGTCATTGATCCGATTTGAAGTGATCAACAACCAATTTGTTGATACAATATTTGTCTGTTTTGAATAGTGATGAGTTTATCCGATGCTCTTTAGCGAATTAATTTTGTTGATAAGCAGTACTAGCAGAGAAGAAAAAATTGCAATACGAGAAGGTACGAGAGAATAAATTTATCCGGCCAATCGCTTGTAAACAATTTTTTTCTTTTTATGCTCACACCATTCTCTACATAATGTGATTGTTGTATTTGTCTGTGGATTATTTAATGCTTTCAATACACGTTCTGTTACAGTCCGATCGAATGCCATTGAATCTGTGCGTTTTTTTTCTCCCACTTCCGTAAAAGAAAAAATACACACACACACACACACACACACACACACAGAGAGAGAGAGAGAGAGAGAGAGAGAGAGAGAGAGAGAGAGAGAGACTGTTTCATTATAAAAATGAGTATTTTTTGTGTGTCCGCTATACGTTCTCGCTGTGTCGGTCTTTCTTCATTCCGTTTTATCGTCTTGTGCAAGCTCAGTTACAATCACTGTTTGCCAACCAAGTAAATTAAAGAATAGCACGTTTTCCGCAAATCCTCTCCTTTTTGATTTGCATATGTAAACTACATTTTCATGTTCATATCTATTCAATGCTGGGAAAATATTAAACGGCATGTTTCTAAAAGGAAACAAAAACGAATTGAAAACATGGTATTTAAATAATGCTACACATTTTTATCGCAGAGCAAATGGATTTCCGACAAACCTCAAATACTTTTCAAGAATTCTATTTTCCATACATTCACTTTGCAAATAGCACTCTCACAATGCTCACCCATTTCAACGATAGAACTGGTAATTCCTTCGCAAGCATTTTTACGAAATAAACAAAAAAATGTTTGCACGCTGATGTAGAGTACTGTGAAAAATATTTTAAAATGGGCATTTGTAATATACTTACGTCAATTGTACTCTAATCACATTTACAATTGAAGTACAATCATCCTGAAATTTTGTTGCCAAATGCACTTGCATCACAGAACCGGCGGGAAAAAAATTGAATTAAAAACGAATGTTCTCACGCAAATTTGTTTGTTTATCAATTGTTTGTTATAAAATTGAAAGTGAATCGCGGAACTTATTTGGATTCTGCTAAAATGGATAGTCCATAAATTAGTTGAATTCATTCACAAATAATCTGCGGCAAAATGTGTGGAATCGAGAAAATGTTTTTCCAAATGTAAAATCGTTCATTTTCTGTTTATTAAATGTACCTCATTTAAATATCGTAAGTCTTAAGAAGAATCAACGTATATTTACAATATTCCTTGTGTCAACAGTCGCAATGTTCGAACGATGGTGCCTTGTTTTATTTTCATAAGGTGCGGCCACCAGCGACGACATCCAGCCAACTCACACCGAATGCAATAAGTTAATTTTATTTATACTGGGTCGATTTTTGGCGCGTTATTACATGCAAATTTACATTTAAATCGTTTATTCTGTGTGCATTTTTTTCTGTGTCGTGTGACAATTTTGAAATTGTCGGCAATGGATGGGCTGACTGGGTTAATGAAATGAACATTTTCACGCAAATTATTTTTCGATTTGAGCAAATTTATTGAATTTAATTTTAATCTTCATCGGAATTTAATATATATTTCGATTGGTTGACACTCGACGATTCAACATTCTCGCCGCCAGAATCTGATTGAATATTCCGATTTCGTACTAATTTAATCATATGCCAAAATTCGGAACTTTTTTTCATGTTCTGTCTGCATTCAGAAAATACGCAATTATTTCTATGGTTTTACACTTCTCTTTTTTAATATTCAATAATAGTGTCAGTTTTTGGTCCTCAACACAACAAAAAAGGGATCTGACATTTATTATTTATTAATTTTTGTCGTGCCACATTGAAAATAGAGAGATAGAGAGGAACAGGGGTAGGAGAACATTTTTTTTATTGGACATTGTGCAAGTGGATGTCGCTTTGTTAAACCTGATTAATAAAATTCATGTCTCTTTATCTCTCTTCTCTCACTCTCTCTCTCTCTCTGTGTGCTTCGATAGAAATTAAATTTATTTACAGATGATATCATCAAAACCCGCATGCACATCGTGTGCACATAATTTTCCAAACAAACAAATGAAGATGATGCATGTAAATATAAATTGTGTTATTCTTTGCCATTTGGTCTCTCATCGTGTGCATGTTTTTTTTCGTTTTTTTTTTTGTCGTCGACATTTTGTTTAATTTCACTTTGCGTTAGATGGAATACTGCTCTCTGGTTGATTTTTTGTTGTTGTTATTGGTGATGGTGTTGGTGTGAATGGTGCGCTTGTTCTTGGTTGCACGTGATAACGGTTCAGTTGGTGTCTATTTTTCAGTTTTTAACTACGTCGTTGTCACTTTTTCTTCGGCACTAGACGAGACTAGTGCTTGCCACTGCAACTCTATCAACGTAACATACAAACAATATTGTAAGTGTTCAAATAGTAGCTACGAGAAAACTTGTGATGGAAACACGCTTGCACACACACATACACACAGTTTCCATTTAGCATTGCCGACGAATGCAGAAATAACAATTTTATCACAGCAACGAAATCAAGTTTTATGATGCAAAAGTCCAATTTGAAAACGAGCACGTACAACAAAAGCATTTTCCCATCTTCCCCGTTCGTTGTTTTCGGGTATATCGGATTGTTTTTGTCGGATTCGTTGGCTTTGATATTTTGCGTATTTGCTGTGTGTTTATTTTAACTGAAACGAAAAAGAGCACAAGAAATATTTCACTTCCTCGTCTCCGTTTTGCAGTGCACCGAGAGAGAGGGGGAGAGAGGAAGAGGGAATAAGCAGAGGGAGAGAGAGAAAGTTTCCGCCTTTAATAAATAGTATTATGTGTCAGCTAACAAATATATTAGTTGGCTTGAATTGTGCATTCAAATGATCGCTCATCTTCAAACCATTTTCATTCAAAACAAACACTCACACACCAAACTCGTTTAAATCGTACACACCAATGAGCCAATGTTATTTTTATCCTCAGCAAAAATCCCGCACACTCAATTTTCATCTTATTCACCATCAAGATTGAGATTTAAACATAAAATTTACCATTTATCTGATTCTTCTGCAGCAGTCAAAAATTCAACTACACCAACAACAACGCAACGACAGAAAATAAACGAGTATATAAACACTGGAGACACTGTAATTCACTGAAACGACCCAAGTAGTTCCTCATTGCCTGCCGGTTTTTCACTTCTAAGACAGCACAGCACAACGAGAAAAAGAGTAAGCACACATTTTTCTGCTGACGATAGAAAATATTTGGTGTTTTTTTGTTTGATAATTTTTTGTTTGTCGTTCCTTCTTGTTATTGTTTCTCTCTTCCGTCGTTTTTTCTCTTCTTTCAATTTAATTGTGTACGATTTTGAGTGAATCACAATCACACAAATTTTTGAGAAAGAGCGATGATGTTGAAGGAGACCATCGTGTACGTGCATTCAAATTTTTCGCAAGTAAAAATTTAACATCGACGACAAAAAAATAAAATGAAGAAGATGAAAAACAACAACGAACAGCATAATTTCGTAGCTTTTTCATTGCGCTGATTTTCTTAGCTAAATGTATGCAACAACAAAAAAAATTATGGATGGAGAGAGAGAGAGAAGAGATATCGGACATGAAAATATGATAAATGGCAATGTTTTGAAAATTCAAGTTTTGAGAAGTTTCGTGGTTGTTAATGGCTGTGTATATGTATATTTTTTGCGTCTTGTTGTTTATTTCCGGTGACCTCGAGGGCATGAATCTGTTATGAAAAATGTCGCTTCTATTCAGATATTGCTCATTTTTTTTCTCTCTCCTTGTTCTTCTTGTTCTGTGCTGTATTCAAAATACGAACAACTCGAATAGAAGCTGCTCTAAATAATTCAAGTGCTCGCACATATTAGATGCCATGCCATCTGAAATCTCAAGCATACTTTGCGAAAAAATACTCTCTTTTCATTGACATAAAATGTTCACATGAAAGTGATTTTTTTCATAAAAAGATGTTCAGTTTATTAAATTTACATATATTCGAATCGCGTCGTCCAGGTGGATGCCAATGATGTTGATGAACTAACAATTCATGCATGTTTCGGTTTTGAAAATGTGATTAAGCTTATCACATTTTCAATGGAATGCAATAAAGAGATGGAATATCTTGGTGCTGTAAACCATATCGGTCAATGGCTAATTTGATTTAATTAACAATTTTGTTTTGAGAGCATATGATGCCCGTACTAAAATTCAAAACGAAATTGTATACATTTCGATGCAAAAAGGTAAATATTGTTGCATCGAAAAGTGACCGAAATGACTGTGAGACGTGTGCGGAGCTTGAGCGGAGCGAGAAAATGGTCAGCTCCGTTGTGCAGTTGAACGTGGTAATCTTGAAGGCGAAACAGATGCCTCGCAGTAATAATGTAGCACGTGCACGCGTATTTGAGACAAATTTAAAGTGATTAAATATATTTCAAAGTTTGTGGTAATGTAACAGTTCCACATTAAATTTATCAGGTTACCGAACAGAAGATCAACATTTTGAATGTAACATCATTCACGGAGAAAGGTAGAAGGAGAGATAGAGAGAGAGAGAGAGAGAGAGAGAGAGAGAGAGCGAGATAGGGGTGCTGTGTGAGAGAAAGACTTTTAACGGAGGATAAGGTGAACGTGAATATAAAATTATAATGATCGGGGGCTATTTCTGCGGCCGAACAACCGCATTTTTTTTTCTTTTTGTTTCTTCGTATGTTTTTTTTTACATATTTCTTCCAGCATTTTACCATATATTTTTTTTCGAACGAGAGTTAGGCACAATTTGTGCCGTCGATTTTGATATTTTTTTTCTTCTTCTGCGTCTTGTCTTCTTATTCTTCTGTTCTAAACATACACTTTGTTGTTGAATCGACAACTTAATGCAAAGAGCAAGAAAACGATTACAAGTGGGAACTGGATGTCAGGTAAAATAAAGGTCGGAAAGAGAGAGAGAGAGATAAATAAGCCATCGCGGCTCTTTCTGCATCGTCTTCTGCTGCTACTGCTGTTGGAATAAAGTTTTCGTCTTTATAAACATCGACATCGACATACGAGCGCATTACATGCGAAAAGAGCACAAAGTTTTTGCTCAAGTTTGCCCATAAACGAACCATTTAGTAGTATTCACGTAGCATAAGCATTGAATACCTAACGACAATGTTTCGTTACGACATTGTGATGTACCAATTTCAAAACGTATGCCTCAGAAGTGGCAGATAAATTTATATTTTCTCTGTCTCTCTCTCTCTTTCTCTGTGTGCCTCACTTTCAGTTATTCCTTTTCACTCATGTCTCGAATTAAGCGAAGCAAGAGAAAGCATCAGTTGGACTCTTGTTATTCTCTTTCTTTCGATCATTCTTTTCATTTCTCTTCAGTTTTTATTCTCTCTGCATGACGAATAACTCCTTGAGAATTGTATACCATCGTAAAAGAATTTATATATTCTTCGCACATGTTAACGTTTTTTTTACAAACCGCTCTTCGATGCTTTTGCCATGTAAACACGTAAGAATTTTTCCGGTGGAAAAGAATCAAATTAATGTTGCTGATGATGATAACAGTTGCATTAGCGCAAGTAGTACAAGCATTTTCATGTGTGAGAGAACTCAATTCGAATGTCAGAAACGAACATTCTCCTCACTCTGTCTCGTATAACGGTACTCTACATTTCTTTTTCGCCTGTCGTTTCGTATCTTTTCCAAGCTCATTTGATGTATTCAAATTTATAGCAGTTAAATGCACATCAAACGAACGCATTTGTGCACACTTACCATACAGTGCTTACGATGCACAAAAGACACAGATTTCCGAAATGTAAAAACTTTGTGCAAATGCATGTCATTCTCTCTCCCACTCGCTCTCTCTCTCTCTCTCTCTCTCTTCTTTCCCATGCTCTGTCTCTGTTTCACTCGGTCTGGCTTGACTTGCAATGAACATTTTCACATTGGAATGCATCGAAAAATAGTTTTCAAATAGGTACTTACCATTCTCGCTTTTTTGTGGTTATTGCTGGATACAAAGAGAAATTGCATGCACTTCTGCAAAATTATTTTTTTGGCATTTAGCTTGCGTTTCGCAAATGACAAGGCAAAAATGCAAACTCGACCACATTTGTGCCAGCGTAAAAGACGCATCCTTCTCATCATTACAAGGGCATATGGTATAATTAAAAGAAATTGAACGCTTTAAACGAAAATTCTTAATAACCTTTCGTCTAAAGTACACGGTTCGCAGTGTCATTGTACTCTTTCTCTCGTCATTTTCTCTTCTCTCTCTCTCTATTTTCATCTGTTTCGATTCATACTGATAAAGAGTAATGCCGCTCTCTGAAAAATTTGAACCTTAAAAGGCAAGTTGTGTTGGTTCACTCAATTCGAGTTTCGCATCAATATTTATTCAAAATCAAGCAGATGCTGTCGAAAAAAGAGTAAATTGAATATTCAAAAAAAAAAAATCGATTTTTTTCAAGAGTGTATTGTTCATAAGCCGTATTCAATGAACAACAATAACAAAAATCAAGCTTTGAACTATTTTTGAACAAAAAAAATCCCTGTTCGATCAAACAGAAAGGATATTAAATGACAAAATTACAGCCAATGTAAATGAACCAAAATCGATTTAAATAATTTCCATTTGGTGGTCATGCGAAAACAATCTCGAAATTGGTGAGTGTATTTATTTGTAAAGAAACTAATTTGCGTGGAAAAAAGGGGTGAATAAGCTTTTCCGGGGAAAAAAATGGTCCGGATTGATCAATTTAAAAATATATAAGTGTAATGAAATGTTTACAGTATATTTTCAGAGTGATATATGTTGTTGAGATGCAATCTCGCAACTAAAATTGATGCAGTTAACGGAATGAAAAAAAAATTAAAAGAGCGAATCTCAATATATGAATCCCGCAGCAATTTCAATGGACGCAGTCATCTAGTAAGCCTGTCCAAACACTCATTCCAATGTCCCTCTCTTCATCATCATTCTCATATACAAACCTGCGTTTGAAGTGCATTCGATGCGAACGAGGTTTAATTTGATAAAAAATCGATTTCACACAGATGAGAATTGCGCTGCGCTTCGATAACATAATTAAAGAGTAAGCGAAATAAAAACAACGAGTGCGCTATATACACTTTGAAAATATGTACATTTATTGTTTTTATTTGCATTTGTGTGTGAGTGTGAGAGTGTATGTGTCTCATTTTACTGATAAGTGTATTCGTTCATTGTCGGCCTATACTGTTTCCATTTTTAAAGGTTTTTTTCTCTCGCACCACACTCCTCTGAAACTACGTTAGTAATTTTACAAATACCTAGAATTAATACCATTATATACCATTTTTATTCTTCATCATTTTGGTTGAATATATGTACAATTTTGATTTTCTTTGATTTTAAACTTTCTTATTACTTCATATAAATAGTTATATTTTCCTTTTTTTCTATTTTTTGGGTTTTTTCAATAAATTTTGCTTAAAAACTTTAGGGTTTATTTAGAAAAAAATGAAGTTATTTTTGATAACTAGAGCAAAACATGAAATAAAATTTATAGTTTAAACGACAAAAATGAAACATGACTTTTCAAAATCAAACGAGTTCATTAGAAGAATTTGTGTGTGTTTTTTTCTCTCTTAGTTAGGTAATAATTAAGTTTTACATTTTGTATCATGAGTTTTATAACATTGTTTTTATCTCATTTCTTGAAGTTCATTCCACTACATGCACAAAGTGTAAATGCAATTTAGGTTCCTCTATATGTTTAGTTAGGGTGTTCAATATTCAATGTACAGCATACCACAACGAATACAAGTTTGTGTGTGTGTGTGTGTGCGTAAACTCAAACGATGTGGAAAATGCATGATTTTCCATGTAAATTCCAATTCGAGTATACTTTGAATTCGAATCGTTTGATTGATAACGGATATCAAATGTCAATTTCATAACTTGAATCGACACAATTCCTTTTTCTTCGACGTAACGTTCGAAGTAAAAATTCTTTAAATTCCATTGTTCGAAGAATATGCGCGATCCCCACTGGGGGGCACTTCAATTTATGATAATTTTTTTTTACTCTTTCAAATGTATATTTATGGTGTTGCAAAAAAGTACTATGCGATATGAATGTTTGACCATTTTAAATGGTTTGTATCTTATCTCCAAAAAAATGTGTTAAATAAAATTCTTTCGATTCATATATGTATTATACATAATGTATATTTTATCTATAATAGCGCAATAATTTTTAGTGTACATCATTTTTTTGGTTCAAGTATTTTAGCCTAATTTAAATTATTTGGTAAATTAGCTTCAATTTTATTTTGATTTGCATCATATTGTTTGTTTATTTCCTTTGCATATTTGCGTTTGTGTGCATGCTATTTATCTGTGCAACAACCGCTTTATTGGGCCGGAAATCTATAGGTTTTTTGTACAAAATGATTGATGCATTTTTTTTTGTGTTTGTTTTGTGGAGTAATAGTACTAAATAATAATATTAATGTGGTCCGGTCACAACAATAATGTTGTGATAGACGCAACAATTTTGAAAAACTTTCGAAACTGTATTTGTTTACTCATTTCACCGCATTTTAATGGGCGCAATGAGCTCACATAATCGCACAACCCCAATATTTTATAAATATGTGTATTCTATACATTAATAATATTATTATTTTACATGTAAATTAATGTTTTTAATTAACCAATCGGTTAAAAACCTGGTTAAAAAACGGCTTTCATTCATTAGCTATGCCCTCTCGCTCTCAATTATGTTTATACTGAGCTCTTGTGTGTGTGTGTGTATGTGTGTTTTTATAGAAGTAAATGCAGTAAAGTTAATTTCAATTATTTATGACTGTTTATATGCTCGCATCATAATCGAAAATTATTATGTTCATTGAATGAGAGCGTGTGTGAGAGAGAGAGCAAGCGTGTGCATGTGTGAAAGAGGCCGTTTCATTCGTGTTTTTGTTTTTGAGTGTTTTTTCATTGCTCGAATGAATTTGATTGGCAAAATTGTTCAGCAATTTAATAGCTATTGCTGTGTGGAGCATTGTATTGTTTGGATTTTTTGGGGGGGTGCAATTGGTAAACATTTCGTAATAGATGTAAACATTAAAAATTCAATTTTAATCAATTATTTTTCCACTTGCACATCTGCGTTCCAATTGTACCAAGTGCGAGAACCACACGACCCAAAAGCCTCAAATGCGTTGAATTTGCTTTTTTTCGCATGAAATTTTTGCATTTTCGAATCGTACAATTTTCATACAAAATTTTACATTTTCGTAATTTGCACCCATATCCGATATTCGATTGTGTGCGGTTTGATAAATGAAAACTCTAGTGGTGAAAATGATGATTTTTAGATCAACCGGCTGAGCGCCGACAAATTATGAATATGTTTTTTTTGTACCCGGTCTGGTGGAACCTTTCGTAAAAGAGAAATCGGACGATGTTGAAAACGGATTATAATCATTATATGTTTTTACCTGTCACTTTTTATCAGACGGTAGCTTTATTTGATATCAACAGTGTTCAGCATTGAGGATGACATCTGTGACGCTCTAATCATCATCAATTTTGATTTTATCTGGTATCACCATCGTGGTGCCCAGCTTCGCAATTCATTTGCTAGTTGTTTCAGTGGGGTTGACTTTTCCCGATCGGACGTCGCCGCTTACAATGTGGAGGCTTTGAATACATGTACCCATCTTGTCGGTTGATAACCATCATCGCTTTCGAAGCGTGTAAAAAGTTTTTCCTTGTTAGACACGACAAACGACAAGGGGAGCGAAAAAAAAATCCAAAAGCTCTTTAAACAATATTGTTTTGTTTCTTGAACTTGTTTATCAGAACATCTATTTTGTCTTCTCTCTTTTTGCATATATATTTTTTTTCATTCAGTTTGAAAACTTTTACACGGCCACGTTTAGGCTTAAGGTAAATGTAAATTGTACATCGATGGTGAAACTCATGCATTGAATGCTTATGTAAAGTGATTATAAAGTTACCATCGGAAATTCGCACGGAGAATTGGTTTTGTCTTCGCATAAATCAATGGAAAACTACATCTAGAATTCTACAACGAGAATTTTGTTATTTCTTTTCGACATGTTCAATTCTCACAGATAATCAAAGTTTATATGTTGTCTACCGCACAGATCCGGGTAATTGTAATATGTAACAGAAGAAAAAAAAATCGAAATTTTCATTTATCTAACCAATAGAAAGTCCGCCGACGATGATTCAAATGATAGGACGTGCCTGGCTACAGCAAAACAATTTTGATGTCATCGTCGCCGCAGCAAGTGAACGAAATGTGTTGTAAATTGTATTATGCATGTTAGCAGGCGATGTTGGTGGTGCCAATCACTGATATACAGTTTGGCGGCGCTGGATGCATTAAATGTTGATTACAATTTTCGCGGACATCACAATCGGTGTACGGCAGCGTTGTAAATTGGCGATACGTTGTGTTATTATAATCGGGCGGTGGTGGTAGCAATTGGGTCTGATTCAGTTCAGGATGATTTAGATGCTGATAATTAAGTTGTTCGGCTTGGTTTAGTTGTTGTTCGTGACGTTTTGCATTTTCAAGTCGTCGTTTTTTCAATTTCAACCATCCCAATATCGATACAATGATAATAAATACAAAGATACCAAGACAACAGCCGACGATAAGACCGAGACGTCGCGTTAGTAACGAATGTAATAATCCGCCATCAGTTAAACGATTTTCGTCGGTGATTTGAACGGGTTCGGCAACCAATGTTCTTGCTTCAATGCACCGTGAAATCGGTGTATCAATTTTCGATTTCATTAGTCCGTGCCGGAATTCCATGTAGATTGCGTCGGTTCTATTTTCAATGGTATGCAGTACATTTTCATCGTCATCACCAAATTCAGACGCACCAAAGGGATTGTCCATTGACGACGACACAAGTTTATCACTAAATTGATTTACCAAATTATTATCGGCAACCATATTTGAGACATAGTACATAGTCATCGCTGACGATAGACGATTTCCTAATCCAATCACACAGATACGGTACAGGGTACCCGAAGACAGCACATTCAATTTGGCTGAATGTTCGAATGGGTTAACGTGCATTGGCAACAATTCCGTCTAAAAAAAGAGAGTAGAAACAAAGCGAAATGAGATTGAAATTGAAAACGTTTTGAATGAGACATTTTAAACCGATTAAATACAATGTATAGACACACAGACAAAATGGTTACAAAAGATGACATAGAGTACTCACATCGTCAACGCCACCATCGATGGCTTGATAAAAAATTTCAAAGCCCACCAAACCGGTGTGTTCTCGATGTTGCCACGAAACAACCACCGAATATCGTTCAATGTCATCAATTGTCACTTCAGTGATTAACGGGCAAAATTCTTCGGGAGTGACTGCGGCAAATGGTCGACCACGCAATGATAATGGTGTTTCACATTTGATGAATCGCTCTGTCGAATGCATAATTTTCTGATGATCTTTAATCCATTCCCATTGCGATTGCGATTCACACGAACAATTATATGGATTATCTGTGGAAAAATGGATTGAAAGCATTGACCATTAGCATGTGGGTGTGTGTACAAATGCATCAAAGGAAAATGCATTTGAAAAAGATGCTGCTGACCAAAGAGCAAAGAGTGATGGTATAAAACATCAAAAACTTACGTTCTAATTGCAATGTTTGCAAATGAGTTTCCAGGAAATTGAGCACATCGGTTGGTATTTGTCGAAATTGATTCTCTCTCAAATCCAACAATGTTAAACTATTCAAAAATCGAAAACTGTCCACAACGACAGCAGCAATATGATTGCCGGCCATCCGTAATTCACGTAGCTCATGCAAATTCTGAAGTGTATTCCTATCGATGTGCTCCAATTGATTGTATGAAATATCTAATGATTCTAAATATGCTAATTCAATAGTAAATTCGTCCAATGCACGAAGACGATTCGTTGATAGATTTAAGCGTCTCAATTGCACTAAACCGTGCAAACACTCCTTCGGCAGACGCTCCAATTCGTTTACGCTAATGTCTAATGTTAAAAGATTATTCAATTTTTTGAATGCATATGATGCGATGCGTTCAATGCGATTTTGCATTAAATGGAGGTGCTGCAATGTAAAATAGCCATCGAAATCCGAACTACTGATCGCCGTCAAATTGGTATGGGTAATGTATAGCTCATTCAAATGTGGAATGATGTAACGTGTTGTTGTCGACGGTGTTTCCAGATTTTCAACATCATGAATACCACTGGCGAACGGATTACCTGTTTTGTATAGTGTTTTTTGAATTGTACAGATGCACAAGTGTGATTGTGTGTGTTTGTGTTTGGGACGATGATGATGGGTAGTTCGTTTTCAGCATCGTCGAAGTTTGTGATATTCAAATGCGAGAAGAACGGAAAGTGAAAAAAAAAACACGAAGAAGACAGCAACGTTTGAGTTAAATGAAAAAAAACCGTGTGGGAGAAAGAGAAAAAAATAAATTCGAGATAAAATCGTGTTGTTAAAATCAATGAGAGCGGAATAAGCGAGTTTTGCTTGAATTTATGGTTGAACGCATGAATATAAAAAAGGAAACGTGCAAACTGGTAACATACAACTATCGATGATGTTAGAATAACAACGATAACACGATGTTTTTATTGTGTTAAAAGTAGCAAACGAACAAACTTTCGAGTGCACACATTTGTTTTGCAATTCATTTCGTGAGTGTGTATGTGTTTTTATATATATGCTGCGAGTGTGGTGTGTATTCAAATGCACATTTAATGAATAGCTCTCATTGCACCACATACCGAGTGGCATGAGCAAAGAGCTGTTGGGGGAGACTGCGCTTGAACACTTGAATACGTGGTAGTATGATATTTGTGGTTTATGATAGGTGCAACGATTTGAATATATGCATATGAACATTTCACTTGAGTATGGCTTTTTGTGCGCTGAATGAATGAGAGAGAGAAGAAAAAATCCATAAATATACATAGTCGCGAGCATACACATCAAAGTAAGCGAAATGCCTGCTGTAGACATTAGGCGAAAATATTTGAGGAAAAATTTGCATACATTTGAAAATTAGTTCTCGTGGTGCGAAGTGATGTAATATAGAAGTTTGACGCTAGAAAATGAAATTCACTATATACACATATATATTCACGTCTCATCAAATGTTCAAGCAAAACTCATTCTGTCACTCTACCCATTTGCTGAATTTGGCGTTCCCAGCCCGAAATGCAGCAAACGAGCAAATAAACCGCAAGAAACTTCTGAATTTGATGCAACAGAAGAATAAAGTGAACTCAACGGAAAAAAGTGTACATTTCGGTTGGCATTTGTAATTTTCAATTTTACCTGTTAAATTCAACCAATTCAGTTGTGATAATGCATCCTCCATGGAACCACCGCCGCTATTGCTGATGACACTCGAACTTCCAACGAATGGCATGTATTTAAATTGATTTGATGCTAAATCAATGCGCTCAATTGCATTTGAATTTTGTAAAAAGTTTTTCGGCAAGTCCATCAGATAATTTGAGCTTAGATCGAGCGATACAAGACGACTCAAATTAACCGCACCAAAACCGTTTATTGACGATATCACATTATCGTCCGCATTCAAATGTCGTAAGTTCGGCATACCGTTGAGCTTAAGAAAATCGAATGTTGTTAAAATATTGTTCGACAATGACAGCGTTTCCAATGTGGATATGTTGGTTAAGGCATTATACGGTAATTCACTAAATAGATTTTGCCTGAAATGTAATTCTTTTAAATTGATCAGGCCATAGAAGGTGGTTGGTTCAAGTGTTTTCAGCATATTGTGGCTTAAATCAACGCGACTTAATTTCAATGTATGGCGAAAAATCATTTCGGGTAAATGCGAAATATTACAATATTCCATGAAAAGCGTTTCAAGCTTTGGCATCTTATCGAATACATTTTCAATGATACTGGTGAAGATGTTGTGTGACAAACGTAGCGTACGAACACTGGGCACATCCAATTGCTGTACGATGTCGAGCGTTAAATTATTATTTTCCAAATTCAATTCGATCAAATTATGCAAGCCATTAAAGGTGCCCGCATTGATTTGTGTCAACGAGCAATTTTGTAGATTCAAGTATGCAATGTCAACGGCGAATGTGTTGCGTGTCAATGTTTCAATTGGATTATTCGATAGATCCAAGCGATTCAATTTTTTTAAATTAACAAACGCTTTCGATTGAATTTCCGTGATTTCGTTCGATGCGAGATTCAATTCCTCCAATGATTTTAAATTTGTGAATAGCGTACGTTTGACACATTGCATTCGGTTTGCGTGCATGTCAATATAACGGAGATTCTCCATTGAATTGAATGTGTTCACCGCAATGTTGACGATCTGATTGTTGTATAAATGTAGTCGTTCTAACTGTGGCATGTCCTTGAAGTATGTACGGTCGATTTTATTGAGTTGATTATGATTCAACCACAAAACGTACACATTTGCCATCGCCTGAAATGTTTCATTCTGAATGTCAACAATGTAATTTTTATCAATTTCAAGGGACAACAACGACGTTGAGTCGGCCGGAAATATGCGCGGCAACGTTGTTAATTGATTTTGTTGCAAACTGATGTGCTGTAACTTTTTCAAACTGTCGAATGCATCCTCTTCAATCGTTGTAATTGTATTATTTTGTAGTTGTAATTCAATAAGCTCGGGCAATGGATAGAACACCATTTTGCGAATGGTGCGAATTTTATTGTAACGCAAATGAATTTCGCGTAAACCTTTTGTAACATCAAACAGACCGGGCTTAAGATCGCGTATATTGTTGCGGTCGAGGCTCAATGAAATTAGCTTTTCCGTTTGGTTGAACAGCATTTGCGGTATGTGTGTAATGAAATTTGATCCCAAATACAATTGCTCCAAATTGGTGAGCGTACTGAACACATTCTCGTCGACACGCCGTATTGCATTGTTTTCCAAATAGATCATTTTTATATTTGTCGAATTGGTGAATGTATCGACGGGCAAATCGAGTATATTATTATCGGATATAAAAATATCACGAATTTCGGGTAAACCGACGAACAGGCCGGCGATCGAATGCAAATGGTTATTACTCAAATCGCATGAATGCAGCGCAAGATTCGATTTAAATAGATTTTTGTCCAAATGCCTGATATTATTGCGGCTTAAATCGAGCGATTTCAATGCCATCAATGAATCAAATGCATTGTCGGCGATTTGCATAATGCCATTGTTGAATAGTGACAGTGTGGTTATGTTCGGAAACATGGCAAATGCATCGGCTTCGATTTCGGTAAAACGATTCAAATCGAGAAAGAGATACTGCAATGATGGCATCCTTATTGATCGATTACCTTTGAACATGTTCGACATTTCGTTCGATGTGAGTCGCAATGAACGCAAACGCTCCAATTTACGAAGTGCCAACAACGGAAACGCTTTTATTTTATTCTCGGATAAATCGATTTCCGCCAGTGAGTCTTCCAACCCGGCAAATGCATACTCCGGCTGAAATTGGGAATAAATAATTGAATAAAAGAAAATTCACATTTTTTTCTGTAATCAGCTTTGGTATTTGTTTCACTTACTATATTTTCCAGAGAATTTGATTTCATATTCAATTTTACCAAGCGAAGACCATAGAAACTATATCGAATTAAAATATTCAAATATTACAGATTCATTACAGAATTTGATATAAATACACCGTCGACCGAAAATTTGAATTTATCTTAAGCACTCTAGGGAAAATTAATCTAGCCAAATATGTTGGAAGTAATTTCAGAAAATTCCAAAAATTACCAATACTCCATCTGAATTCCAGTCGATTGTGTATTTATTTACACTGAAAATTATTTCAAAGGTGAAACGAAAGCTTACTTATAATCATGGATCGATGATATCCGATTATTTTCAAAGTCAAGCTCCATCAATTTTTCCATGCCAGACAGAGCATTCCTTGGTATCTGCACAACCAAAAATATAAATTCCAATCGATTGTTGTCGAAAGCATATCGCATTCGATTCATAGAAATGTTCATTGTGTTTGTGTGTTTTTTCGTCCGTCAATTCGTGTGTTCGTCCCATCGATGGATGAATGCAAAGCAATAAATATGGTTGAAAAGAATGAAATAGAAAAGATGAAAATGGAAATAAATGAGTAAAATGTCCGTTCACCAAGAAATCTATTGATAACGATGACAGAGATGCTTTGTGTTATCATCCACTAAATATTTGGTGTTGTTGGTTAGATTTTTGGCAGAAAACGATAGAAGAACGAAAGATAAAACGAACGAAGGAAAAATGAATTGCGCGCCAAATATTACATTGTTAAATGAAACTGTCGAAATGGATTTTAATAAAATTCGAATTCATTGAGAGCGTGAATGGGTTTAAATTACCAAATAGTTTAGTGAATATTTGAAAAAGCATTTCACCATATGCGACCAAATCCGCGTTATGAATAACATTCTAACTACATCGCATCATGGCAATCGCCGTATTTGTTTAGTGCTCACATCTCACTCACCTGATTCAATTTACTGTTGGTTATGGCAAGCGTTTCCAGCATTGTACGTAAATACGAGAGACTATTGTCCTTTAGCATGCTCAACTGGGTGTTGGCAAATTTTAAATTCCGAATATGAATGCCATTCACGAACATATCCGATGATATTGATGTGGCGGTTCGATCAAAATCGTACAGCGATAACGTTTGAATAGGCGATTTAACGATTTGAAGAGTTGTGCGTAATGCAGTCTCTGTTGTTCGGGGGCATTCAAGCTGAAGACCTATTAAATGATTAGCACATTAAATGAAAATATGATAAGAGTGAATGAAAAAAAAACCGAATCATGATTGAACATAAATGAAAATGAAGGAATGACAAGAGTAAGAGCAGGAGACGGAATCGGGAAGGGGTAGCACTCATTTGTTCATTGTGTTTAGTTTCACAGCGGAAAAATGAAATGTTTTTTGTTCGCGCAATGTTTTTATTGTTTTTTTTTTCTTGCTCGCATTGTATTCGGTCATACCAGAGAGAGAGAGGGCAAAAAGATCATTTCTCGTTACATTGGGTGTTGTAATCTTTGTGCGGAGTCATTGAACTTTCACAATAGCACCTAATGTTTATTATTCTCTCGCTTCATTCTCCATGCTCCGGCACTCTCCTCCGGTCGTTTCTCTAACTCGCAATGCGTCGGTAAATCGATTCACACCAAACTATTCATTTTTAATCAATTTTTCACATTGCAAATACAACTAAAAAATCCATCTAAATTGGACTGTTCACAAAATCGACTGCATCACAATTGATGGAATAGATAATTTGCGATTCATATCAAAATATTTGCGCGTTGAATGTGCCGATAAAAACTTGAATTTAAATTTGGATGCGAAATCGGAATATTTTTATTTCAAATTGCCCAGCTAAAAAAACGTGCACGCATAGCAATTATTTGTAGTTTAATTATACACATGAAAATAGCTGTAAGGCTGAACATTTTTCAAAAGTGCGTTTTTTCATACAGGGGCAATTCGAGTGGTGATTCGATCAAATCGAATGTCAAAATGAAAAATGTAGTGAATTTGTAATTATTTTGCGTAAACAAATGGCCGTTTGCTGCCATCAAAATAATGTAAACTAAATAAATAGTGATTTTCCGAATTTTAAGCGCGTTTTGCTAATTTGTAGAACAAATCGATAGATTCTCATTTCAACTAACAAATGACCGAGAGAATTTCATTTCTCATTCGCATTCGTTGTAAATTGTGTGTGGGTGTGTGTGTGTGTGGGAGGGGGGTGTATTTGAGTGTAAATGTGGCTGCAGTACCACATAAATTCTTCTGTCGATTGCAGCACTTTGTTGGAATGGAATAAATTAATTCGAACGCTGGGAATAGAATCGGGTGGCAGCAACATTGGCATCGACAAGTGAACTGCACCAACAATACCCAGCATATTCGAATTGCTGTTGCGTCACACAAGAGAAAAACCCAACAAATTATTTTAGGATCCCTATTAAAAAATGAATTTGTAAGGTTTCCTTATAAAATCGCAATATTTTAACAGGAATCCTAATAAATTGGCGCGTCCAAACGTCAAAGCCAACTTCACTGTGTTGAAACAAAACATTTTTATTATTTAAAGGTTTCCTGATAAAATGTTCCAATATTATAAGGAAACCTTACAAATTAATATTTTAATAGGAATCCTAAAATAATTTGTCAGGCTTATTTTTTGTGTGGTACATAACAACGGTGAGGATATAACGATTAATTAACCAAATTCCTGATTCACTGTGCGAAAACATCAATCAAAATCTATTAAGAATGCGGTGTCAAAGCCACATTAGCATAACTGTCGAATATAAAGAAGCTGCGAAAATATAGACAGGGGTTGGGTGTACTCTCTCTCTCTCTCTCTCTCTCTCTCTCTCTCTCTTGTGTGGATAAGTGTGGATGCAATACAGACAATGTACCAAAATAGGTGAAACGGTATGCGAATGTAAAACGTGAAATGTTCCAGAACATAAACGATTAATTATCCGCTTCTCGCTTCTTTAACACTTTTACTTGAAGTGCTATTAAATAACAGCGATGCGATAAGTAAATTACGCTTAATGGTGGTTTTTCTTTTGTTCTTTTTCTCTTTTCACTAACCGTCTCTCTCTGTCTTTCTCACCTCATTTCTATCTCATTTTCATTTTGGTACTTGGTATGCGCGCGTATCATCTCAATGGCGGTACGCTCATGCAGTCGTCGTTGTCGTTGGTAATCGCACACCGATGGTGTGTAAAAGTGTGAGTGTTATTTTGAGAGAGTGAGAGAAACATTAGCTTAACTTTCAGTAAGTCAATTCTATTAGTGTAATTGTGTTTTGGTATAACATCGAGTACGGCTAATACCTTTCGTTGCTTCATTGAACAATAGAAATGACCAGTGCGGGGCACGATGACGATTGAACGGCTGATGAAAATGAATGCGATTGTGCCAGTTGTTCATTCGTTAAGAATCATCACACAAAAACAAACAAATACCCACACCCGCCTGACACCGACATCGAGAGACCGACATAATATTCGCATTTCTTTTGTCTATCGCTGGATGAGGTAATTTTTATTTTCTTCGCGACAACACCCGAATATATAAATACTAACTTATAGTAAATTCATGAAAAGGGATTTAGTGGTCATTCATTCGGTTTTTGTTCGCCTATTCGCATCGAAGTAAATGAACTGCGTTTGACCCCAAAGTGAAAAAAGATTGGAATGAAGCTGTGTTTTTTTTTCATGTGTCAACTATATTCTTCGCATTCGAGTGGGGACGCTTTCTTTTTCCCATCGTTTTGTGGCACTATTCTCTCTCTCTCACACATCTTCTTTTTTATAGTTTTGTTTTCGGTGTACCTCACAAAGTCACCGCTTTTTCTTTCACTCATTCCGCCTTTCACCTAACCCATTCGATATGCTGCTTACTTTGTTTTTCCCTATCTCTTTCTCTATCTTTTCGATTTGCTTTTTGCACATACCCACACGAGCTCTCTGCAATATAAATACGGCAGAATGAACCGGTGTCGCAGTAAACGGTGAAAAGATTTGTCTCTTGACTTTTGTACTTTGCCATAATCGTATATTATCTAGAGAAAGAAAAGAAACAACCGCAACAAGTCACATCGAATACATGAAATCGGATGAAATGAAAGCGAGAAAAGAGGATAGAATTCGAATGAAGGCAAAGGGGTTGTTTCGGTTTTATGCTCGATCCAAATGCATATATGTGTCTTTTCTCACGATGCGACGTCTATGTGTGTTATAATACCGTTGTGTCTATACATTTTTTTTCCTCTGTGTTTTTCCCTCTTTTTTTTTCACTTTAAGCACATTCCATTCGTTTAGCCTCATTTGTAATGTTTTGAAAGCCAGTTACCCAAGACATATAGAGAAAACTCCAATGATTTTATCTGTACGTGATCGTGTGTGGTGTCACTGGTGTGCGTGTGTGTGTGTGTTATTCATGCATTGAAATGTGTTATATCTCGTATTCTGGTCGGTATTCTCTCACGGCACCTTTTTCACGTTGCACTGTTTCTTTTGCTGTTGTTTTTTTTTCGTCACAAAATTCCAAAGCAATGAACTGTACAGTAAAATATCGCACCGTAATAGATATATGAAGAGGTTAAAACCAAACACATATATAACGAAAATATGTGCAGATCCCAGCCATTCCCATACCCATAACGAGCGGTCGAAAGACAAAGAGTGTGTGTGTGTGTACGATACAAAACTGTGCGAAAAACATTACGAAAAGTGAACGAGTGAGGAAAAGAATGTTGTTGCTTTTGTTGCTACAACGGTTGATGTGGTGAGATGTGTCTCCTGTCGATGAGAGACGATGATGATTGCAATGGCAATGGCATTTGTGAGAGCGATGGTTATATAGAATGTGCACGCGTTGGCCATTAGTGTTCTCTTCACATGTTTGATTAAATATGTATACATTACCATATGCATACACAGAGCTCACAGAATGATGTAGTTGATGCGGCTTTTGCCATGCAATTACACTTATGTATGCGATATAATCAAATATTATACATACATTGCATGCACACTTCGTATTTTCCTCTGAAATGTTGGTTCGTCGTCTGTTTTGATATAATGGAAAATGTAAAACCAACAACACGGCATATCCCGGCACTTCTTCTTTTACATTCTTGTAAAGAGCTGATTAAATTTGTCACACACTTTCCACAGTTGAGAAGAGAAAAAAACACGGAAAAGCATGACACAAGATAATCATGAGCTTGCTGTCATCGTCGAGCTTTGACCAACATCAACCGACCAACACATAAACATTCACCATTGCATACAAAGAGTATTGCATGTCTCGTTTTTTTTTCGTTTTTTTAGTCATTTTGCACAAAACTATGCTCAAGTGTTAATGATTTCATGATCATTTTCATGAAGTTTCTCTGTATCCTGTACGAAAAATTACAAGCAAAATTGCGACAGATTTATGAGTTGAGAGATTGGCCGAATGGCTTGTGATATTTGATGATGATCATCATCACAGATACTTTTAAATGCATAAAATTGAATAATGCCGGCAAAAGTTTGCACTCGAAGAGAAAATGACACATGATAAGAGTAACTAGTGTGTGTATTTTTATGAGAAAACTCGTGCATATATCAGATGTTATCCAGAGATTGAGGCAGACACCCAAATAATCTAACATTAAATTATGTGCATTCAAAATGATGCTGAGATTTACTTTAAAAACTGTCTGCTGTCCTGCGTCGTCGAAAAGTAGCCGTAGTGTTTTTTTTTGTTCTTGGGATATACACACCAGTATGGACCAAAGAGCAAAAAAAATGGAAAGAGAATATGGTTGTGATTCATGGCTTCAGTTACAGCAAGCCATAAAACATAAACTATGCAATTTAGATAAGGATCCTTGGATCTAATCTACGTAAATTTTGACACACAGCAAATAAAATGAGTAGAAGCAAGAAAAAAAACACCACTCATACTCTCCTTCCTATATGTGTATATAATTTGGATTTGTGGACGTACATTTTTGGTCAGTTTGAATGTAAAATCATGTGCGAAAATTATGGTGTTACTTGTTGTTTCCTTTTTTTATTGTATTTACTTACCATCTTCGAATTTATAACACGGGCAAGCTGAATTGTCGACAAAACTGGGACATTGTATTCGATCCGCATCGAAAAAATTGGACGCCCACGTTGATGCGGCTGCCGTTGGTAGCATTTTTGATGAACGAACAGCCGCCGCACCATTATCACCATTAACAGGAGGCGGTGTTCGACTAATTACACTGATGATTATTGCATATAAAATTAAGCGCCAACAATGTGATAACTTTAATGCAATCACATGCATACGCAACCATTTAACATTATGATGATGGGCCGATGCTGTTGTTGCCGTCGTCGCCTTCGTTTTCGACGTCGCAGCCGTTTGTCTCGTAAATGATTCGACGATGCTTGATGACAATGGTGGCAACGATTTATTCCGTTTTTGATTCGCTATTGTTGCTTTTGGCTGATCGAGCCGATTGCGGACATACCAAATCGTCATATTTGTGTTAACATTTCACTTAAAATTATCATACGATTTTGTTTTCTGCACTAAAATGCAAATGTAATGTTGGATTCCGATGCAGCCGACAATCTCATCAGCATTGGTTGTGTTTTTGACAGCGATACAGTCATTTGGTTTGATGAATATTTCATTTCAACATTGATTTTTTTTGCGGATTACATCATGGATGATGATGGCCAATGGCAAAGTCAACCAACTAGATAACGCTGCGTGAGCCTAATAAATTGACTGTTGTTGTTGTTGGATCTTTGTTAGATGATTCCATCCATTAATTAGAGAATTTCTGTTGGAAAAGAAGAAAACGAAACAGAAAAAAGGAAACATTTGTGATTATTAAAGATTTCAAACAGCGAAAATGTTCTTAAGCTTAGTGACCAAATGCATCATTTCTAAGGATAATTTGAATACGCAAAATATTTGTGAACCCATTTAATGAGTTTTATTCTTTGCCGACTTTTATCCTCCTATCGTTCTTTTTCTCTCTTTTACACTCAGTTTCATTCAGATACTCTGACTATCTCTATCTCTTTTGTTCGCTCTCTCTCTCTCTCTCTCTCTCTCTCTCTCTCTCTCTCTCTCTTTCTCTCTATCTCACTAACTAACAAACGAAAATGAGAACCGAATATAGTATATAACCCGAAAAAAAATCAGAATAATAATGGACTGCTAGCGGCTTTCAATTGCAAATTCAGCGAGTTTAAGTAACGACCCACGTTCATTTACATAAATCCAATCGTCGCATCCAAAATAACCGAAAATGACAGAAAATAGAATAAGGCTATAAATTGTATGCTCTATGATTTGATACAATGTAGCACATTCGACTGAAAATAGTCAAAGCAATGGGACTTCATCAGGCGCGCACACATACAAACACACCCAAAATAATTCGCATACCGAGAGACAACATGGTTGGACATTTTTGAGTTGGTAAACTTCATTTTCATCAAATATAAATGCGATATGATGAAATGATATTTGCTATTGTAATAAATGAGCGCAAATCCAAACGAATGTTTTCCATAAAGTAAACAAAGTTTTTGCATTTTCACTCGAGCTGGTTGATAGTTAGAAACGCGCATTCAACCGCACAACCGCTTTTGATTGGCAAAATCTTTATTATTTAGTTTTCTGTACATGCGGCACTCTGTTTCTATTGTACACACGACACAGTGACTGATGTATAATGAATAATGTGAAATGAACAGAACAATTGGTATGCATACATCCACGATGGATTATCAAGCAAAAACCCTTATTTGTCAAAACATTTCACATTCATTTCATTAAGGACGGGCATCCGTTTGAATTTCGACGAAACCACCGGTTCTGCATAAATTTCACTATTTTTTTTTTAAGTTTAAGGCAAAAAATTCGGTTATTTTTCATCGAAATATATAAACCTCGAAAAATTCAACCAAACTAGTTGAAGCTTCCATTGTTATAAATATGTCCTTTATTTTAATTGAGACAATTGTATTAACTATAGAACCATAATATTGTATGCGTGTTTGCTTGGGCGCGCACATGTGTGTGCATGACAATCAAATGAATTAAAATTTATTTCATTTTCAGTTGAAACTAAATTCATAATAAAATCAAATTGACTTTGGATGAGCATTTCGATTACACGATTTGATTGTCGTGTAGCTGCTGCGGATGACGCCATCGCTGGATCTATTCGCTGTGTTGCCACTCACAAGCGAAACCACAAAACGAAGATAATCAAATAACGAGAATGACAAATTACATAAACATTTCATCGTGCACATAATTGACGGTGTGGTTGATGAAATACACTTTGCATTTGCCACATTTTACCACCGAACACCGATCCTTTCCACCGCCTCCCCCCTCCCATCGGTAGATATGTATGCTATATTCAAATTTTGACTTTCGGCACTAAAATTTTACCGAATGCCATATTTCATTCGAATATGTACATTTTCAAATTTGAAATGTTGTTGATCAAACGGATATTATTTCTATATGAAGTTAAATCTTGTTGTATATGTCAAATGCAGCGAATTTCTCTATGTAGTTTGGCCAAAGGCAGTGGAATTTTCTGATGCCGAAATGAAGTAGTTTTTATTCGTAAAATATTTACGTAAATGGTTTGACTAAAAACCCAAATGCGGCCAAATTAACATCACCATAAAATTTAAACAAACTCGCTACCAATGCAAATATCACGACGAGCGAGAGACAGAGAGAGAGAAAAAAAATGTCTATCCAAACCATAAACCATTTTAGCACAATTGACTTCATTTCAAATTACATTAACACAGTCAATTCTATTATACGAAACATGGCCATGAGGCTTTTATGATGAAGGATTTCCTGCTCGTTCTCACTCATCGTTAATTTCGCCTATTTCTAGATCAATTTATCGAATTACTCAAAATTCATTACACCATAAAACAATCACATGGCAATTAATTCCAAAATACAAATATATGCATAACGATATGTGTCATACGTGTGCGACAGAGAGAGGGCGAGAGCTTAGCTTGGCATTTAAAATGTCAGAACAGCAGCAGCAGGAAATAAACATTTATTAGCTAGCAGCATCGTGAAAATCCATTTGAATTTTATTGTTTGTGTTTTAAAATTGAAAATAAAGTTGCATTTATATACAAAATAAATGTTTACTTTTTATAACTATGCAACACTCGATGGCAGTGAAATCATTCGACAAGTACATCACTGTCGTATAGTGGTACACAAGTAACTTTTAATTTAGTTAATTCGGGAACGCTGTAACTGATACTTCGAATTATGCAGACAAAATATTTACAAATTATTAACTATTATCACAGGCAACATTTCAAATTCACAAAATATCTGCAACAATATAAACGACCTGTAGAGAAGATGTCATTAGTTCGGCTCCATATAAGATCCAAGTATACGACAAATAAATCGAAGAAAAAAAATTACTGGACTTTTGAATACAATATTAATGTCTCCGGACATACAAGATATACTTTATTTGAAAATTGAGCCGAAATAACATCCAAATTAATTTTGATGTGCTATACAGAATAATCTCGATTACTTTTTAGTTGGTTAAGTCAATTTTGGGGTGGCAAATCGAATTTACCAAGACATTTACCGCTCATCTGAATAGGCGTGATGTGTCAAGAGCACAATTGAAATAACATAGCAAAACAATTTCGAAATTTACCACAAGTGCAAACGTATATACGAAGACACAAAGCGCACGAAAATCGGAGTCACCAAGATTGTACTGTATGTTGATAAAATTCATCGTTTGGATCTTAATCATAGTTATATTGCCATTTAGGGGCAAATACACAGACAGAGTAAAGACCATGAAAATGTCATTAATATATATAGAAAATGTAGTACGGTCTTGAAAATGCACTTTAAAACATTGAAATGCAGCGATAACGATATTGACACTAATTGCAAGCAAGAGTGTACAAGTAACATGTGCTGGTTAGAGCACCAAAACGATATCAATTGCATCGTTCGTCGGATGGTATTTGCTCAGTCAAAGTGAAAAGCGCATGTATTCATTTCTTCCTCAAGACGATTGATGGTAACAGAACATACTTGGACACTTTTGTTTACAATATACAAATATAGAGACGTATGCAAAACCAATTATAGTTGAATTAATCTTATGCCATCTATCACATGAATTGGATATACGATAAGAGAATATGGGTTCGATTGCACCAAAGAGATAATATAGACACACAGAGAGAAACGACCTAAAACAAATCGCACTGTATTTGGTGTATTTCATGAAATTACATATTTTGGCATCATTCAAAAACTACACTCACAGAAAAAGTGGAGACGGTTTTTCCGCAAATTATTGCAGAAAC